ATCCTGTTCGTGATAGCCTCACTTTTGGGGATTCTGATGACTCAGAAATCGATGAAGAAGGCCCTGATTTTGTTGATCTGTCACAGGATATCGAGGAGCCCGAGTTGCCGCCTCTTCCTGCTCCTTTACCCAGCTTCGAGACCAATTTTTCTTCCACTTATCACAGAATCATGAATACATTACACCCCCAAAGGCACACACAATAATAGATCGATATCCCTTGTGCTGTTGGCGGCCAGATCAGAGGCAGAGGTGAAGGCATCGTGGGGCGAGGAAACGGGGCTGGACTGGCCCGCAGTCAAGGTTCACAATTTCGGCCGCAACACCACCGCAAATATGCCTCGCATGATAAAATACTTTTGGCGACAGCTTCAATACTTTTCAATTGAGTCACAGCAGAAATTTCGAATAGATTGCGATAAAATTAGAAGTGTAAGCCAGAGATTTCCTGATTTCCCCCACCTATTTCTAACCCATCAGCTGTCCCAGAATTTTGCCCTTGTCCCAGAATTTTGCCGCCCACTCTATGAGTGGGGTTCCTTTTTAGTCAAACCCACGAGTAAGCATAAATCGCTGGTCTAGTCTTGGCTAAGCGGTGGGGATTGGTGTTGCCCATCTAATCTATTTATATCTAACTTGAAAAATAGTAAGCTGACCCACTGCTCTGACCTAGTATGCTTAGTGGAAGTAAATAGGTGGGTGTATTTTCCGTCCGGCGACAGGAAGAAGAATACATACTTATATAGTACAAGCTTAGGTAGTAACTAAGTGTATTTATATTATACACATGAAGATTGTAGCCATTAGATTATTTATGCCGCTTAAAATTTCTATCTCCGAATTTTTTAACGCAGGTTCAGCTGGTTGTTGCTTGTGCAACATCCGCAAGGCCAAACCAGTAGATCTATCATTCTACCTGTATAACAAAATAGCTCTTGAACACGCTTTTCTTTCTTTAATATTAGATGTCCCAGGACTCCTCATGCTATATAGCGTTAACCTTGGAACCTTATGGAAATGATTTTAAGTTGTTGGATTAGTATTGAATTACAGTCTTGGCTAATGGTATAAAATACCTAGAACTCTGTCCTTAGACGGTATCTCATGTAGAATCTCAGGGTGTCCCTCGGGGTAAGGAAAAACAGCGGAATGGCTTATACCAAGAACCGCTGATCTCCCACTAACGTCTGTCCGCTGTTTTTCCTCACTTACTAGGGTGTGCAGGGTGCCATGGGGATTGTTATCTGTACCTGTATTTGTTTGTGCAAGGGATCATTTAAGGCGTCGTCTAGATACGTGCTACTGGCGTGGTGGGGGATGTGTCTTAGGTGTGAGGTCCAAGGGGGACAAGATTCCGGATAACACACATTCAGATCCGCATTTCAGATAGACTACCCTGCAGCTGTCGAATTTTGTCACAACATGGGCTGTTTTAACGATGGATGGTAATGGCTTGATGCAAAGAAAACCTTTGTCTTATATAGTTTTTATTCAAGGGCTTGCTTTAATAAATGTAGCTTTTCGTCGAGATCGTGTTTGGTTCTTTGTATTGTTTATGTGAAACCAGTGCCATTTTAGGACCGGTGTCCTCGCAACCAGAGCTTTGCCACGACCCAATATCCTCTGCCGATACTGCCTACATGCATCTGTTGGACCATCGATAAATGTTCTCAGATGCGAGAACTAGGCTACAACTTCAATGAGGAGGTCGTTAACTTTGTTCATCTTCTAATATAACTCTTATGGTTTGTGAAAGCAAAGCGAAGAGCGGGCACTTGTCAACAAATTCCGGGGACGGAATGGTGGGCTGTTGTGGTGACCAATAGAGAGCTTCTACTGGCGTTAATTTTATATTCATGGAAGAATGAGTAGCAGCGACACAGACTGCCTGCAACATGAGCTATAAGGGGCCACTATAGTATTTATATCGATAATGAAAAGCTGAGAGTTTCTTATAGAGGGAAAGAACTGTGAGACTGCCAATAATTCTTCCATAAAGAAATGCACAAGTTAGTGGACCTATCAAAGCATTATCACCCCGGCGGTTTCTAAATCGAGCCAAGCGCCTCACCTGGAGACTAACTCTAGGCTACAGTGGCTTAGGCCAGCCAACGCACCAATCAATCACGATCGTAGCTTTTAGTCATCCAATGTCCCCTGAAACCATCGCGTCCTTCATAATCACGCGTATTCTCATTGTCTTGTCTCAAATATCTTCATTTCTTCTCAAAATATCCTCCTATCGCCGTGCGATTTCAGTCAAAATGTCAACGAGAAGGAGCGCCAGAATTCGGAACATTGACTTGGGAGTCACTGCTGGACCAGCTAAACCTGCACCTACGCCTGCGGCTGCTGCCCCACCAAAGAGGAAGCGCAAAGCCCCGGCTGAAGACGACAAAGATGAGCCGGCAGCAAAGGGGAAGAAAGCACCGGCGAAAAGGGTAAAAGCGACGATATCTGCCAATAGAAAGGCAAAATCAAAGGCCAATGCCATACCCGAGATTGAGACTCAAAATGAGAGGGCGACAATCCATGATGATGTCTTGTCAGTCCTGCCGGCCGAGATCCTCCAACAGATCCTCGAAAGCGTCAGTCTGCATCGAATTCAGGCGCTGGATCTCTAGTACTGACAAGCTCAGGTCAATGACCCAAAAAGTATGGTCAAGCTGGCCTGTACCTCCAAGCGATACTATGCCCTCGTAATGGCCATTATCCACAAACGCATCTCCGTCTCAACATCCTTCTGGGCCCATATCCCCCACGTCATCCGTCGCATTGAACCCCATCTAAGCATCGCCCAGAAGAAACAGCTCAAGAGAGAGGGACAGTACAAAGGTCAACAAGAGAAGTTCTCAACTCGTCTTGATCCAAATGCTGTGCCTCCTTGCGCTAGTAACGTCAGGCAGATGATCATTGGAAAGATTGATCCCGGCAAGAGGCATAAGCCTCTCGTATTGAGATATTTCGAGGAGGTTCTTAAAAACCTCCATAACTTAGAAGTCTTTGATGCAGAGGACCTTACTGAGCAAGTCAATCCCCACATATCCGTTGTGCCATGCTAATAACATTGAAGGTCAATGGCGGAGAGTCTCTCTAAATTGGAGAAGCTCAAATCTATACGACTCCACCCTTACGAACATTCCATAAAGTCTGAAGCTGTGATTCCACTCGCTAAACTCCATAATCTCGAGCACATCTGCATCGAAGATAGGTCTTGGGACCCAATCGCTGTAACCAACGATAGACCCTTACAGAGCATGTTGCTCAACTCCCTATCAACCATTCGGAGCCTGGAGGTTCGAACAGCCCAATATTACTCTGACTTTTTAGGCGATTGGGAAGGCAAGCTCAAAGCCCGCAAACCTGATGCGTTGGAGCAAGAGTATGGTTTCACGGCGCTCAAATCACTGACTTTACATGGGATAAGCTTCAGTGGTGAGTTCTGTAAAAATGTCATGCCGAACTTCACAAGAGCTTTTGATTTTCTCAAGCTGAGGGAGCTTAACCTCATGGATCTTGAAGAGGGACAACTGACGTTCTTTAAGCATCTCGAGGATCTGTTTAGCAAAGCAGATAAGCGTGACATTCACCTACGAAAATTGTGTTTGAAGATGAAAGGACCTGGGCATAATTCAAGCTACGCCGAAACAGAAGTCCATCTTGAAGGAATGTATCGATTTATCTCAGCATTTGATTCATTGACCAGCTTGGAGATACATGACTACAACATGTACAACTCGGCAGTGCAGTCCAATCCCGGCCTATCGAGACGATTGCTGCAGTCTGTGGTGAAGCATACTGGGCTGGAAACACTGCGCTTTCATTATCGACACATGGGTAGTGAGTCGTGGGAGATCCCGTTTGCCTCAGCTGAGACTGTGAATATCTTAACCAAGAACCTACCTTCTCTACGGGCCTTTGAGTTTGCGCCCCAAGAAGATAACCTTGTAAGTTGCGATACCTGGCTTCCAATGAAGGTCGAAACTCACGCAGAGTAGGATGCAATGGCCCGCGCTCTCTCACGCGCCAAGAACTTAACAACTCTTCTTTGTCCCAACTATAAAAGCTATTACTCAGATCGAGAAAACGCCCACTTGACGTTTGCTAAAAAGCTGCTCGGGGGATATCTGGAGAACGCTGGCAGCTGCGAGAAATTCATTTGGGAGAAGCATTACAAGCTTGGACACATCACTATAGGCTGGACAGACTTGCGAATTGGATCCGGACTGAAGCCAAAGAAGAATTTGGAAAAGCCTGTGAAGATCGAGAAGGTGGATCGTGTGGTGATGGTCCAGGATATGCGGCCGAAGAAGTGGGGAGACTCTAAGCAGGAGTATTACACTGCTGATAGTCGATGGGTGGATCATGTTTCGCGGCCAGATCGTCGCGAGGGACCGTTGCAGCTTGTGTATGATGATTGAGAATTGGAGACTGGCGTTGCGTTGCGATGAGTAACGAATGAAGTAAGAGAATGGAGACGGCATGTTTAGTTTGCGGAATTATATCAACCTAGCTCACATTCCTCTAAAACAGAGATTCTACCAAGTGACAATCTGCAACCCTTCTCTAGCCTAGAAACTAAATGTAAGGTGGTCAATCACACCACAGTCCTTTTCTTCACCTCCAGGCAACTTGCTTAGAACCCAAACAGGTGATTCAAGTCGCAACTCGACCTTCTTCTTTCCATCGTCCTGAATACTCCACGATACAGCGGCAGTGTTGCTTGAGCCAAGGGCTACCTTGGCCTTCAGCTCTCGACTCAAGTCAAGTCTCGGCGAAAACAAGATTTTGCTTGACCCTGCCGCTATGACATGCAGACCAGCCAGCTCAGTACAGTACTCGTAGATAGGAACACTACCCCAAGCATGACAGTCTGAGCGCTGCCTAACGTCATCCTCTTCCCAGGTTGTGAGGTTATTCGCCAACATCTTTCGCCAAGGGTCCCAGACCTGTTCCCATGCTGACTCGTAGACTTCGTCGCCAGCGAGAGCAAACGCCCTGAGAGCATAGAACACCATGACGTAGGAACATTTGGAAAAGGCTGGATTGGAGAATGACTCCTTTAGCAGACGTGGCCCTTCCTCGGGGGGTGCGGCGCCACTGAGAACGGCGAATACTTGGCAATGCTGGGAGTAAGCCCCCTGCCCCGCGATATCAGCCGTCGAATCCGCGAAGAACTTCCCATCGAAGCAATGAGTGCGGATTGCCTGGACTACAGACGCAGCGCGAGTTTCGTACTCGTCCGCGTATCCGGGTCGGCCGACATCTCGGACCAGACGAGCAGCCTGCTTCAGGACATACGCGTAAAGCATACTGAAGTAAGTATGCCGATTTGATTCCCGCCCGGACGTTGGAACTCCCTTGTCTGGATGCGTATTGGTTGCGCCCCACGTAGTAACCCAGTCGACATACTGCCAGACATCCTCTGGAAGCCCGCTAACAAGGCCCAAGGCGTCGATATGAGACTCGAAAAACTCAAAAACGCCATCGATTCGAGGAAGGAATGATCGTGTATATGGCGTGTCACCGAAGTAGAGGTGGTGGTCGCAGATCTGGAGGACCCAGTACAGGGAGAAACCAGCGATGATCTGCGGTACGTGGGAGGGGAAGCGAGACTGCGTTAAGCCCTCGGGGGTCACTGATGCAGCAAAGTTGGTGATTGTTTGCCTCATCAGTCTGTCATCACCTGAAAGAAGATAGTGAAATAGGCTGACGGAGCGGGAATCGCCAGAGTACCTAGAGAATGGTCAATCAGGGCAATGTGGCATGGAGGCGAATACTGACTGGAGTTGTTCATAGAAGGGGCAGTCTGAGTAACCATCAAACATGCAATTTCTCATAGTTCTGATGGACACATCCCATATTTGCTTAGCGTCCTTGTCTCCTAGGTCGTCCCAGCTTGCCTTGACTGCAAGGGGGTAGTTAACTTGCGTGGCATCAAAAGAGGACAATTCAACGGGTTCAGCTCCAGCTGTGATTTCCCATCGCATAACGCGAAATGTTCTAAACCAAAATGGTTCGTAAACGACGGTCTGCGACGCTGGTAAGTCCAGCGTTATGTCATCGTAGGGACCTATGATATGGCCATTGGTCGCATCCAGCCTGTCAGACTTTGATCTGAAGAACGGATAAGAGCGTGGTTCATTTTCGTAGCCCTCGCTGTAAATAACCTTGATTCGGACCTGGCTCTTTTGAGTGGCCTTGAACGTCCAGCGCAGAAATGCCGTTGAATGCACGTCCGCCTGGACCTCGAGCGTATGTGAAGACCCGGCTGGAAGGGTAAGAGGACGCTGACCCGAGAGATACGCGACCCAGTCATCAGAGTTCAGCCTTCCGACATTCTTTCTGACGGTATTGACACTAACAGAGGTTTGCTCTGGAGTGGGGATCATGCGAGATCGTAGACGCCATGGTGGAAGCTCTCCGTTAAGTGTCTTGATGTTGTATGGTACTGGTGTGACTTTCTCTTTGGCAGAACTGGGCACGATGTGTTCATTAATCTGGAGAAAGTCAGTGTGCATTTACAAGACGAGGTCAAGAACATACATGAAGGAAGACATCGTCTGGTCTACCCATTGGAAACAGGATCGAGTTATCCTCTTCAGCTAACCAGCCTTCCCGAGAATCAAGACTAACAAACTCCCCATCCGACTCAACACCACCAACAACAGTCAGCCCTGGGAATGAAGTTCTCTCAAAAGGCATTCCACCGCGAGAAGCCGCAAGGTAGCGGATCACCACGAAGCATATCTCATTATCGCCTTGTTTGAGGTGCGGAGCGAGGTCGAGCGAGTCGTAATACCATATCAACGGGCTACCTCGCGCTGGGCCAACAGCCACTCGGATACCGTTTATGATGAGCTTGTATCGCGTGTCGGCTGAAAAATGGAGGAGCGCTCGAGTTGGTCGAGATGGGAGAGTGAACTTGCGACTGAATGTGACGATACGTGCGGCTGTGTTTTGTTTGGAGGAGTCGACCCAGTCGGAAAGCCAGATCCAATTGGATTGGAGCTGATTGATGATCTATAGAGCGAATTAGTTTAATGGTGCGTAGACTGAGAGAGGACAGGATGGTAGTTACTTGTTGCTCCTGTGATTGCGCCATTAGATCGTTTCCTAGCACTGTGTATGCCTGCTTGCAGTCAGCAGTCCTGTAAAAGAAAAGGCACAAGATATATGGAGTTGATATTTGAAAAGTTGCGAGGCTTGGAGAAGCCCCACGCTTCCCATTTTCAGCTCACACTTGGGTAATGGTATCGCTTCGGGGTAGATGAAAGCGAGCATTTGCTGAGTGCGGGGCACTAATCCTAGCAAATTTGCTAGCACTTGTTCGAAAGATGGTGTACCAGCTGATCGTTTACGCGTTCACGACGCTAGCTAACAGTGAGGGGAAACAGCAGTCTTAGCTCGAGGGGCCGGGCGTCGGGTCAAGTGAATGTGGATCATTACGACGCTATCATGTTCCTTTTATTGCACTAGGTAGACTAACCATATTGCAAAGGACATCTACCAAATTTTCTAGCGTGACCCCCAATCCTAATGCGATCGACAATCTAGGTCTGAGAAGCCAATGCGTCAGTCTAGTAGACTGCCTAAGCGCAGAATACACCACCGACCTCCGAATCTAGACGAAGCCACCATGTTACACGTTAAAGCGACACCAGTAGAGCTTCCGACGCCTGAAGAGTAAATGTCGCCTTTCCCCCCGAAACAGTGGCCGACTCAACCGTGCTCTGACCCTGAATCTTGCACGATCCATTCTCAAACGTCTGCCCAGCAACAGTCGGGCTCTGACCAGCATCGACTCTGGATGTTGAAGCAGCAGCAGTGAGCCTCTTGGCCGAAACCGTCGAGCCAGAAAGCCCGGAGAGGGTAAAAGTCTGAGAAGGACGAGAGCCGCTGGTGTAGTAATCAGAGTTATACAGAAGAACCCTGATCGGCTTGTTATCTTTGTAGATGGCATATGCTGCGTATCCGGTTGTCTGATCATCCAAGGGGGCGATCTTGTCGGCGCCAGCGAGAGCCATCGTGGCAAAGTAGGCTCCGAAATAGGGGGATCCCATCGAGTACTTTCCCCACCAGCAGTACTGGCCTGTTGGTCAAGGTGTTAGCGGTTTGCCAGGACTGTTGTACCGGGGCTACTTACAATTTCCGATGGTGCCGTGGTGGAAGTACAAAGTCTGCAATGAGTTAGCTACTCAGCTGGATGAAACCACAGAAGCTTTTACCTCTGTTCCCATGATCAGGGCTTGCATGACATAGTCGAGAAGCCAGAGTCCAGCACCATAAGTTGGGCTGATGCCGCCACCGCCCTGAGTGGCTAAGTATCATTGTTAGCCATGAAACTACTTGAAGTGAACGATCAACTTACCAGAGTTAGTCTCTCCAAACACATGAGGCTTGTTCTTCGCCGCCGCAGCTGCGACTTCTTTTGCGAAAGGCTTGATCTGGGATGCAATAGCGCTGTGGCTCATCAACGTTGCTAGATTGGCAGTGCTCTTGGACTGCGGGTAATTGTGAGAGCAGTACTGTCTAACATAGCTGTTGGCCTGGCCCTCGGCTGCAGTCAGACCAGCGATGCTCATCGGGCTGGTTCCGAAGAACACACCAGCTGAGATGAGGTTAGACGTGGAGAGATTGCCGCACACGGCGTCTTGCCAGGATACCTCGCTGGCGTAGTCCGCTGACGCTGTCCAGGAAGAGCCTTGGGCAATAGGGTCACTGCTGCTGAAAACTGAAACACAGTTAGCCGTGAGTAATTAGTTACTGGATGGAACCTACAGTTGGGTTCGTTGCCAAGCTCAATGGCATGAAGGCTGCCGATTTGATTCACTGCTTTGGATGCTGCAGCGACGGTGTTTGCAAGGTTGTTGAGTCGACGATTGAAGCCTATGGTTACTTGCCCATCGTATGTGCCTGCCAAGGACATGAATGACGGGCCGAAGGTTAGTGTGCTTGGCGCATCTCCAGCGTTGGCCACTGTGTAAGTGACTTGTTGGCTAGAGGATGCATTGTAGGTAGCTCGGTCCCTGTTCGCCATGTAAGCAGCAACAAAACAAGCGATGATATCAATCATACTGCGTCGTTCCTCCGATCCTGATGGGCGGCCAAGTTCCCGAAAGATCCTTCAAGTTCTGCAGACAGGTGGAGGTGCTAGGGACATCGTTCCAGTAGCCCGGGAAAGCGAAGAACTCGAAGCTGCGGATTATCAGCGAATACACTTCATGTTGGTTGTACTATGTCGGCTTACGAAACGCCTACAGGGGCACCGGCAAGCTGGGCGCTTGAGTTGGACGGCGGCGATGATGGGACGTTGAAAGATAAGCCCGAGACGGTGGCGACCTGGGCGATGAACCAAACGGTACTAAGGAGAGAGGCCATTCTTGAGGAGCAGTTGACAGTAGCAGTTTTGCAAAAGGAAGCTTGTCAAGATGGTTGTGATGGTTCTTTATTTTACGTGGCATTTCGCTGCCTTTTATTCTTGAGACTTTACGACTTCTGATCTATTTCGCGGATCGTCGGAGCCTAATCACCTGGAACACCTGAATTCCGCCTCTGCTCAACTTGACCACTTACACCAGACAGCAAAGTATACCTAGTAGAGCAGCTCTGATCCTAGGGAACATGGTCTAACCAGACTTTTCCCCAGATTTGCTTCGATTTCGGGCTTCTCTCCGCCTATCCTCCAGCCATGCGCAGCTTAATCTCAGTCTCATGATCATCAATCGATATTTAAATCATGGGTGTTCTTTCTCGGCTCAAACGCAACCGAGTGTAACAGGCTCAAAAGAAGCTTTCTGCGCTACATCTTTGACCCGAGAAATGTTCAGCTCGGTCATTGTTCAGACGAAGTTGGTGCAGGTGATCAAGCCTCTTATGCTCTGTGGTGGTATGAAGTCTCGGATATCGTTGCCGTGATATCCCTGACAGATGCGCCTGATTGGATCTCTTAGATCGCCGGGATGCCGTGTATAGACGGACTGGTTTCCGCGGCCCCCAGTCAAACTCAATTATTCCACCTCCGCAGTGGGGTTCGTGCTTCTAGCCTGGTCGCTAGTTAGAAGGGAGCCAGGCTGGGGGCGGACAAGTCTGGGGCCCCGCGTTCTGCTGTGGAGGAACAAGAATTTAAAATACCACATCGTATCGCCAAGCTCTTTTCCATAAAGGCTGATCGGAGCCAAGATCTTGGCTGCATCAAGTTCAGATCTGCATTGCCAACTTGAACACCAACACCATCAAAATGCAGCAGGCCAAGGCTCATACCGAGACTGTCGAGGACACAGGCGAAGGACTTCTCATGAGGTCCAAGCTTGATGACCTGAGCGTTTGGCAGAGTGTTCGCAGGTTCAAGCGCGTTGGCTGCATTGCCATGCTTGCAGCCTTCTCCGCATCTCTCGATGGCTACCGTAAGTTTTGCGCTTGGCTCTTGACGCTTGTTTATCTGCTCATGCTAATAACAACAGAGATCAATCTCAATGGTGGAATAGTCTCCAACGCTGGCTTCATACGGCAGTTTTCTACCTCTGGCACGACTATCATTGCAGGAAAATACATCTCGGCTTGGGGAGGTATCCAGTCAGCAGGCCAGACCATCGGACAAGTCGTACGTCGATCTTCATACTCGAGATTTTCTGATCATTTATTGACGTTGTTTCTAGCTCCTTCAATACGCAACTGAACGTCTCGGTCGAAAGGCTGCTATGATGATTATCTGGGTAGTTCTCACTGCGGTACGTACGCCACGAAACTTACAAGAATCGGCACTGATCAAATTTCTCCAACCGAATAGAGCGTCTTCGCCGAGTCATTCGCAACGCACTGGCAACACTGGCTTGTGGCAAAACTATTTTCTGGCATGGGTGTTGGCATGCTGCAATCCACCATGCCTCTGTACCTGTCCGAGATCTCTCCCACTCAGCTCCGAGGTTTCTTCATCAATGCCTACAGTTTGTAAGCCACGATGCCTCTTCAGGTCCATTCTAGACATCGGTACTAACTCTAACATAGCTGGTTCGTCCTAGGCCAGCTCTTTGCCTCGGTGGCCCTCAACAGGCTCAAAGCCAACGACCCACTCGATTTCCGAACCCCGATTTACACTCAGGTGAGTAACCAAGACTCTGTGTTCGAGATTCGGGAAGAATAATTCAATTAACTCGGGTCGTAGTGGGCGATGATTGGCTGCATCCTTGTGGCCTTTCTTCTCATTCCCGAGTCCCCTTGGTGGCTGGCAAGCAAGGGCAAGGTTGAAGAGGCATCGCAAGTTCTGAACCGATGCTTCGCCAATGTCGAAGGCTACGACGTCGATCAGCAAATTGTAAGTGCTCCCCGTTTCATCGTTCTAGAAACTGCTAATTCCAAAACAGGAAATCATGACTTCTACCCTCGCCGTCGAACGCCAGCAAGCTGAGCAAAATTCCGAGCTAGGGCCTTGGGCTGTTTTCAAGGGTCGCAACCTGATTCGATTCATCATTTCCGGCTGGCCCAAGATCACACAGCAGTTTGTTGGTTTGGCCGTCTTCAATACCTACGCGACATATTTCTGTAGGTGTTCGCTGCATGATGCCCTGAAAAGCTTCTAATCATATGTTGCAGTCCAATATGCAGGAAACAAGGATCCGTTCCTTGTCACTCTCATCCTCTCATCCGTTCAGCTGATCTCGATGATTGCCACTGCAACACTTACAGATTCCATCGGTCGACGTCCTCTTACCGTGTACCCATACGCGGTGACGGTCGTGTCAGTTCTGTGCCTGGGTATCATTGGGTGTTTTGACTATACAGCCAAGGCTACCAGCTCGCTACTTGTCAGTATGACCTCAACGGGATCACTCCCAATTTGGCTAATTGTTGTCCCTGCAGATCTTCTTTGCGTGCCTCGCTACGTTTTCCACCACTGGTGCTTCAGCTATCGGCTACGCCTACGCTGCAGAGATTCCACAACAGCGCCTCAGAGCCCAGACGGCTGGTTGGTCACTGGCTGTGTCTAATTGCATCGCTATCATCTTCAGCTTCTGTACCCCACTGATGATCAACGGTTCGGTCAAGTGGGGCGTCAAGACTGGGTTTTTGTAAGTACTATCTACAAAGCTTGATGTCATATTGAAGGCTTGCTGATGAATGCTGCATAGCTTCGCTGGTACCGGTACGGTTGCCGTCGCCATCGCATGGTTCATCCTTCCTGAGGTTGCGCGTCGAACACCCGCCGAGATTGACGAAATGTACGTTAAGTTCCATTGGTGTCATCTCTTGAGGTGTATGAAGCTAATGCTCGACAGGTTTGAGAAGAAGATCAACCTTCGCAAGTTTGACAAGTATGTCACAGAAGTCCAGGTACACGCACATGAGCTTCAGGACAGGAAGAAAGTGGTCGATGAGGTTTGATTGAGCCTACGATGGAGGCAAAAGGATATTCTCGGGGGGATACTTGCTCTTCACTTCTGGTGGCCGATCTTATAATACTCTACTTGATAGTTGCTTCTATCTATATCGATTAAGACAGGTTTCCATTAAGATCCTAATAAGCCCTAATGTGGAAGCAATGCCTTGGAGTTGGAAGCTCCCTTATCCGAACATCGTTCGGAGGTCCTTCTTGTCCATAAGGCTGATCCAACAAACATCCATGCTCCACCTGGGCGCTTCATCGTAGGCAGCCCACAGTTCTTTCGCAAACTTCTCGGCGACTCCGATAGGACCGGGGTGCAAGCATTCTTTAAAGACACTCAGACGTCGCAAAATAAAGGCTCGCCCTTTACTCACATCAACGGCCATCTGTGAGACGGATAAAGGGTCGATATCCTCCTTGGAATGTTCGAGTGGGTCTTTTAGAAGTTCCAGGTAGTCAAGAATGCTCTCCATTGGTCTTGGCTTGGCCTGACTGCCGCCACTGATGGAGTTTGACTCTGTTCCAGGGGGTGAGGTAGGTGTGTATCGAAGCCCCGTGGCAGCGCAGACATACAAAAGCGGCTGGATAGCGCAGCTGCCGGACTCGGAGGGGGTTCGCTCAAGCACTTCTATGAGCCGAAGGGTGAGGGGTACGATGCGCTTGTGCCATAGCATTGTTGTTTCTACTTCACTGGGGTCTCGCGGCACCAGTTGAGAATGGGGTGCCAATAAGGCAGGAAACTGTATGTAGAGCTGGAGCAGGGAGGCAAGTTGATAAGCTTCAGCCACATATAAAAGATGATTACTCGGTGTGCGCTTGTCACCGGTATCGTTGAGTGATGGCCTTGGAGATAGCTGCAGTTGTAGCAACTCTACCTCCAGCTCCTTTGCCTGCTCTATCTCTGGTACCGTGAGAGGTGAGCCCGATGCCCCCCTGGATAATTCAGCGGCGCGACGTCGAGAAACCCGACAAAGGCGAATTGACCCCATGAACAGGGTCGAGCTTAGGAGTGAGACGCCTGTCCATGGATGAGGCTCCGCGTCGTAAGAAGACTGGCTGTAAGTACTCAAGGACCCAGATGTCTGGAAGGTATATGCGATTGCGCTGGTTTGGTGAATATCCGTCCCTGGTTCTGGGTCATATATGAAAGATATCAACATATCCCAGTAGACGAGACTTTTGTTGAAGAAATCCAACTTGTCAGCATCAGTAGCGAACTGTTGCTGTGAGCTCCACCGAAGCAGTGTCTTCGCTTCTTGCAAAAACGGCCAACCCACCCGACGAGTATCTAGCCAACAAATTGTGGTCCCAAGGCAGAGTAGCGAGAACATGATACCGGCGGGCATCGCATCGAGGGCGTTCTTCTCATTGAGCTCCTGTATCTCTGCTTGAACACTCAGGGTTGCCGTTTTGAGCAGGCTCATAGCAGAGTTCCTCATTTGTGGTAACCGTGCCGAAAGGAAGCTGGCTGACATGCTTTGGAGAGCAATGAAGACGGGGGGTGAGCTTTGCCAAAGATCCTCGGCCATCTTTCGATTCATGTTGGACTTGGAGTCGAAGCCGGACCATGCCGGACATACTTCGTCGAACCAACATTTCAGAAGCCGCATAGAGGAGTCTGAGTTGATCCCTGGTGGTTGAATCTGACCAGATAGACCAGGGTCTAGCCAAGAGGTCCGTTGGGACGACATGTGAAAGCAGAAATCCGGCAGCCAGTCTGAAGTGGAAAGGTCGAAGTTCGGGGTCTCAATAGTAATCGAATGAAGACTATCACCAAAGCCTCCACCAAAATTCGTCGAATCGAAGTCCATAAGATCTGTTAGGCTGATATCCTCTGACTGTGGCCAAAGAGCCATTTCACCGTCCGTCATTGGACCAACCTCCACAACTTCCTCACGGGTGTATTCATCAGCCGTCAGCGGATTCAAAGTAATGGTAGATGGGTTGTCGTTCAGAGGCTCTGGTGACTTCTTTTGCTGTTGTAATGTCTCACTCGCTGTTACCTCGTGTTTGTATGACCACCTCAACGTTCGCTGAGGGTAGCCGTCGCATAGCAAACCCTTCTTTGCGCAATTCGTGCACGTTGGCCTGCTTTCATCGCATTTGACCTCTCTGCGTCAGTACCTCATCAATCATTTCCGCTTCTCTAGACATACATGTCTCTGCTTGCATGACTGACAACCGCCTCGGGAGCGTTGCCCGTATGATCTCGTTAGCCTACGGCCACCGCGTCGGGGCATGGTAGCGCTTAGGTTATAAGTGTCGACTATGACTGCTCGTGCGGTTGACCGACTATCCACGTCAGGGAGGGGAACCGTGAATCAGCACCCTTAGTCACCAGGGAAGCGCGGGGTCGAAAGTTAGCGAGGCCGGACACTACTACGGTACCCGGCATACGGAGTAATATGCCGTGATTTGGGCCAATCGAATGGTTGCGTGCGCTTTGCATCACCATTCGTCATCCGGCTCTGTATGGAAAGTTTAATCAAGAGCGTGAGAGCTTCTGACACCACTTAAGGTCCATTTAAGCCATTCTTCATATTCTAGCTATTACTATGTCGAAGCCTAGGTGAATCAGAAAGAGAAGACCTGTGCCTTCAACTTCGGTAGCGCCGTGCGCATGGAGCTCCGAAAAAACTTGGCTTCTTGTATATTTTAATCTTCTACTTTTATTTTTACAACTACATAACTCTACTTCTGCTGAGTACGAAGACCGTGTTGTCTAAATATATGAAGACTTTTTCAATCCACTAGGTTTACATCTGGGACTATTACCAATCTATCTTTCTAGAAGTGCCGCAGTCCATAGCTTGGCAGACTAAAGTCAAGAATAAGCCAATGTAGTGTAAGGGTATCGAGGATGTCCCAACTTGGGGTATTTAAAAGGGCGTTACTTACTTCGATCAGCCTTTGAGAGTTTGGCGTCGCCATTCTGCTGCTTAAGCGCAGCGGGCTTGATCTCGAAGCCACGGACTGCCTCCTGACGCCAGTGCATTTCGACTGCATCAGCAATCTTTGCTTGGTTACCTATTACTAGTCAGCGTTGTTTATTACAAAAGCTCGACATTGCCCAATCTCACTGTTGCCAATGGCTTCATCTCTGGAAGTTATGAGCTGCTTATACTGATACTCAAAAGCTAGAAGCCTCTGCTGTATTCCCTTTTCAAGGAAATTCATAGCCGCCCCATCAAGATTAAAAGACCCCTTAGGGCTGTTGATGTAAACATCGCAGCGTAAATTGGTTTGGTCAACGGCGACGGGAGAGTACGTGAGTTGGTACCAGAAAGGTCGATCAAACATTGTGTGTACTGTAGTCAAAGGGAAGGATAGTAGCTCTCCAATAGAACTAGGTCCCTCTTCAGGAATGGAAGGGCTGAATTCGTGGAATTGGACGCAGTTGGATGCGATGTGGCGTATGGCTGGTTGACTGTCTTACATTAGCAGCTGCGGGTAATCTAGAACGGAGGGCCGAAGATGGTACACCTACGTATTACCTTCCAATTGAAGTTCCCACTGAATTCAATGCTCTCTAAGAGTTCTATATCTGGGCCGGTCTTCTCCAGCTTGTCCATCTCTAAGCCCGCTACAGGTGCAGTAGCAGGCAGGCCCTCGTCACGGCTGACGTTGATGTGAAGGAAGCCTCGGCTGTCCTGCTTCGTGTAGATTTCGAAGAGACTATTCAAGCTCTTATCAAAGCCGGTGAGATTGTCGAAATAAGGAGCTTTGATAAGCCTTCCCTCTGTGTTATAACTCCATCCATGATATCGACAGCCAAGAATGGTGGCGCTGCCAGACTGCTTCCTGGCGACCGGGAAGGCTCTGTGCCTACAGACATTGTGGAATGATCGCACTACCATGTCCTTTCCCAGGATCATGAGAATACGAAAACCAGCAATATCGTAGACAACATAGTCGCCGGGGGAGCGAAAACGTCCGCGGTGGCTCACACAAATCCACGTCTATCAATGAAATCAGACCATTGCGTGACAGATATCATCGGTTTTGAGTGTTCTTACTTGGCTGAAGATTGCCCGTCGCTCAAGTTGGAATCGAACAGGATCCGACCACCATCCCTCGGGCAGATTGAAGGCTCGGTCTTCCGGCACTATTACGCGAGCATCGCATCGTTGCAGATAACGCCAGAAATGAAGAACCATTGAAACAATAAGCACACTCGTAGTGCCTAAAATTACTAATGAATTCATTGAGAAGAGCATCTAGAACAACAGAATGTGATGCATGAAGTGAACAACTGCGAATGTTTCTTACAGAAGAGCAAGAATATTTAGCCCTTCAGCAAAATACAGCGTTTCCGCAAGATCCATTTCGACGGCTGGCATTTTCGTGTGCGATTTCTCTATTAGGCAATGGAGATTACTCTATCGGGCTGTTTGCGCCCATGAATCGCTGGCTTTGGAGCGTCATGTGAAGCACAAGAATAAATTACCTGTTAAAGAGACTCAATGGTACAGTACGCGTGATATCACCCAGCTGGAAATATGTGGATGAGGCAAGCTGCGTGTAAAATTTCCTGATCTGGTATAGCATAGCGTAGGGTAGGCTTCCGGCTATGAACATCGATTTGGATAAAGCTCAGATATGGGCATTCCTATGAACAGGTATTTTCATGCCCCTCTTGTTGCTCAAAACAAGAGGTTTTCTATTCAACTTACATCAAATAAGAATCAAATAAACCGAAATATTATTGAAATCGCCCCCCTCCCATAATTCATGATGACTGACTGGGACGTTACTCTCCCTGCATCCTGGTATACCAGCACTGGCATCTACAGCTTAGAGAGACGGGCGATTTTTCTCAACGCAAGTTCAAGAGGGACTCCAGTCTCTCTGGTTGCGCTCATACTGATTCGCTATCCAGTCCTGGGTTCTTCTGGGAGCCGTAACCAAGTTTCCTGAAACCAATGTCAACTACGAGCACGAGCTGGCTCAGACCGACTTCATCGTCCGTCGCGAGACTGAAGATTGGAGAAGTATCACCGTCTCCAAGCAGAGCGATGTAAGTACTTAAGTACTCGCACATCCAACTCTCAAGAAATCTTTCTAATCATACAGGGTACCGTTATGCGATCGCACCTAACTCCAAATGGACTTCTTTTCTTGACCTTATCCGACGAGACCTGCTCATTTGAGGAGTTCTTCCCCGGCTTTGAGGAATCGACTGCACACGCCGACTTCACTGGGCTTCCACTAAGACGTCCTCTTAAGTACATCGCTGATAATAATTGGAAGGCTACGGTTGATGCGTATCAAGAGTGCCTCCATTGTGCCTATGCCCATCCGGAGTTTGCAAAAACGTTCAAACCCGCGGGCTACAAAGTCATTAATAAGCACAACTACTCGCAGCATATTGCTACTGCCACTGGTGCTGACGATGGTTTATTCTTCTTCCTTTTCCCGAATTGCTCCTTGAGCTTGTACGCCGGGGGTTTGACCTGCTGGCGCATTAATCCATCTAAGAAACCCGAACAAGCCCGCATGGAGTTTGACTACTATCATAAAGCCCCTGCTGGGAGCGATGAGTTCGAAAAGTGGTATGACTTCACGCGTAATGTTGCTGTTGAAGATATTGAGCTTTGTGAGAAGACTCAAGCAAACCTTAATGTTGGTATTTACTCGGAGGGTTTGCTGAATCCACAAAAGGAGAATGGCGTTATCTGTAAGTGTATCCTACTGTTGGATTGATCCTTCTTAATGCTAATATTTATAATCTGAAAGATTTCCATAGTCGTATACTTGAGTTGTGCTCAGCTCAGATGGAGAAAGATGAGGCCATGCAGTCCCCAGGAAGGTCATTTGGGGAACGCCAACTGCCCTTATACAAGGATCTGACTAGCTACTAAGAGTGATTTTGGCGGGATACCAAGGCGGTAGAAGATTTCAATACTACATCTATTACATTCGCCGCCACATAACGAGTGTGATCCCGTCTCTGCGTAGCCTTACTCTGGGTAGCAAGATTTCGCGGAGGAACAGAGATCGGAAACGCCAGCCAATTAAGGGCACGGGCTGCTTTTCGGATAGAGCCTCGCTTGCGGAATGCCCGATCGCTTGACATCGGGCTCTCTATGTCGGGGACGACCTGAAAACTAAAGCCCGGTGGCGTGGAGGCTCAATTGCAATCTAAGTAGGAGTTGGTCAATATCCTTTGCTTCAATCACGAGGGCACATAAAAGTAGAAGATCGATGTTTAATGTCAAAGACTAGTATGTGCAAGTCAAGCTATTATCTATTACTATAGTTGTCCTATCTAAAACAATTGAGACGCCGCGATGTTTTATCTTTGACTCTGCGTCCCATTCTCCAAGTTGTTCTCGTATCGAAACGTAATATCCGTCTTAACCCCAATCCTCCCACTCGGCATAACCAACACCTCTTCACTGCTATTATCCTCCAGCCCATTCTTGATATTCGTCTCGAACGTACTCTTTGGTGCACCAGTACCAGGATTGCTACCACCCTGAAGCTCAAGTGGCATTTGTTTGAAGCCGGAGAGCTTGCGACTGCTGGACATGCCAGAGCTGCCGAGGAGACGGGGCGCGTATTTCTTGGCGATGGCTTTGTAGGAGGGGATCGAGGCGGCGAGGATGCCGATGTTGGTCTCGATTACGGACCAGTACATTGCGTCGGATATGACCCAGGTTTGGTCGGAGGAGCTGAGCATCTTGGGGATGTATGTTATTCGGATGATGGACGAGACACAGGCACTGTCGACGTTAGCAGGTGGATGATTGATAGGGATAATGGAGACTTACAAGAGTCCGAGACCCAGGATGATGGCCAAGCTGATCTTCTGTCGTCGGGGAACACGAAGTCTTGCCACCAGTGGAATCGGCAATGTGTACGTAAGAATATCCGTAAAGATATTGACAGCTGCATTCGCCAAGTAGAAAGCATTGATGTCAACGCACTTCTTATCATCTGGCAAGATCGTAATATCGTACGCGGCCGGGACTGGAGAACACTGAAAGATGCAAGCCAGGACATTTGCACCAGCCTGACATCCAACGACCCCCATCATCACAAACGCCGTCTTGCGTAACATTTTATCGCCGAGTCGGGTGTAAAGCGCAAGTACTGAGATCTTAATGAAGCCGAGGCAGGCATTGTAGAAGATGGAGGACAGCCAGACGATTTGGAGGTAGGCGATGAAGTTGTCGGTCCCGCGCTTTATCACGTCTTCGTAGTGACTACCGAGGCCATGTTGGACGGCTGAGGAGGTCAGTGACGGCCAGTTAGCAAGCAATAGTATACTTACAAGCAATTGTGCAGCCGATAAAGCACCATGATAAGATCTTGAATCTGTCAGTATCTGCACATGCAGTCGTATAAAGATCAGACTTACGGCTCCAACGCAAATCAAGTCTGCAACAGTTAGCAAAGCCTAATAAGTGGATCGAAAAACTCACAGTCATCAGCCCCAAGCGACTTGACAATAAACGTCCTCGCCCACAATCTCAACACCACAGCACAAAAGCTAATGACAGCAAAACAAATAGCAACCGAATTAACAGTCGAGCCCTGTGATTCAGTCATGGTTGCAAAGACAAACGAAAAATATTGTACGAGTCCGAAAACCTAAGCTGATGCAGAATCTCCAGCGGGTTAAATGGAAGAATCCATCGTGTCTCAACTGAGACAAGCGGATGGCCTTTCATTACAGCTGATTGATTAACTCCTTGGTGTTATGCCAATCGTTGACCATTCTGTAACGAAAGCACAGACGGGAAATTCTCGCCTCGCCAAGCGACCGAAGATCTTACTGACTCCATCGCTAGCCCTGACGGCGCCAGGCGAAAGAGGAGAAGTCTTTCAGGGGAAATTCGTATATCAGATTTTATCATTCGTCTTGGAAGTTCTGAACCAACATAGAGTAGCATTTGCCCCCCATTCTAAGTGGAGATGCGTGTAATGATTGACGCTTGGGTAAAAGTGATTGGATGCTAGGATACTCGGATAAATGGTCCGTGAATTCGACTGTGCGAGGATCATGACGCTTGGTGGACCTCGGCTTCTCATTTCCGAAGCGTTTTTCCCACCCACTTGGTGTTGTTTTCTCCTTTAGACTTTCTGCTATTGAGGTTTGTGAGGCTAGAGACAACGGCCCGGTGGAAGCTAAGTGTTAGTCTACCGGTTCTCTTCAGCGTGTCTCACGCTAATTATTGCCTCACCCTACTGACTTCCTTCTTTCGTATTTCATACCGTGGCATTTGGTAGAATCCACTTGGTCAATAACCTGTTTCCTCGCGAGAATCTGTCATCTTTTCTCAACTGTGGAGCCAAGCAAACAAGGCACTTCAACCAACATGTTCTCCACAATGAGACAAATATCATATCATCCGAGTACCACCTGCCTGCCTGCATGAACTTCTTGTCAGGGAAAAAAGAAGCAGAAGGATCATGAAACATCTCCTTTACCCAAAGTCTCGGGAACACCGTCGTGGTATTACCGTTGTATTACCCAATCCGTTCACATGCGAATCTTGAGTAACCGCTGAAGTGGAGAGGATTTAATATCTCAGCCGCGTATGGCGATCTTGGTAGCAGATCTTGGCGAATGTGGGTAGAGGACCAGGATCAGAAATTTTACCACGACTCGGGAACGCTTATCCTGCCGAATGTTAGGCCCTGCTTTAACAAGGATCGTCGACCGTTCTCAGGTAAGTCGTCGTTTGATAGGCAAGCGCGCACACACAATTCTTGGATCTTCAGCGGGTTGCTCATCCGAGATGTGAGCCGTTACATTAAAGAATCCACTTTACTACATGTTGCATAGCATAGAAAAGAAATCACGGGCCATTGAACATCCTTGGTTAATGATCGTCAAGTTGCGCAACTCGGTTATACAGGCTATGTAACAGCCCGGAAACCACCCGCTCGTGTCGATCCCTCGTACATTATCGGGTTTGGTCCCCTTTCATTGCTTATTTTCGCGTTCCCAACAATTGGTTCATTTTGTTTCCTGCAGACACAATGGCTGTGCTTAGTTTTGTGAACGTCACCCTGTTGGGGGTTGGGTATATTGCTTTTTGCGCTCTGTGGCAGATTGTTCGGTATCGCTTTTTTCACCCGCTGAAGAAGTTTCCCGGGAATTTCTGGGGGACTGTTACGAGGCTTTGGATCACGTATCATAATGTCAAGGCTGATGAATGCGCGACATTTCAAGACCTTCACAAGAAGCATGGTAAGATCGCTTTTTTGGGGAAAGATGACGTTATTCACGCTTTACAGGACCTGTTATTAGGATTACACCTACTATGCTGCTCGTCAGCGACGCAACTCAACTACCAAAGATTTACAACCGTCACGCCAACAAGTCAAAGCACTACATCACCGGAAGTTTTGGCAAAGATGAATCACTCTTCAACATGCAAGATTCCGTCATGCACGCCAAGTACAGAAAAATTGCAGCTCCTCTTTACAGTTTAACCAACATCAAGAAGATGGAGCCGTTGATTGACTCCAACATTGAGAATTGGATGGCCCGTCTGCAGCGAGAATTCGCTTCTACCAACAAACCCTTCGACTTTGCGCCTTGGGCTGTTTTCATGGCTTATGACATCATTTCAGAAGTTGGCTTTGGTGCTCCGTTCGGCTTTGTCAAGGAGGGTAAGGATGTTGAGGGTCTTATCCAGGGCTTTCACGATGGTCTCACTCCCTTTGGCATCATGGCGAGACTGCATCCTTTCACCAACTGGGTTAAGAGCACTTTCTTGGGCAAGTACATGGTCGCTAGTCCTGAGCAGGACTCTGGAATTGGAACATTGATGCGGTTTCGCGATCGCCTGATTGATCAGCGTTTCAAGGATATTGAGAATGGTGCGACAGACGGCCGTGTTGACTTGCTTCAAACGTAAGCTGCCATGTTTCATATTTCACACTAAATGCTGACACAGATCTACAGCTTCATTGAGGCCAAGGATGAGGACGGTAATCCCCTGGATATTAACTACATCAAGGCTGAGATTCTTCTCGTCCTTCTCGCTGGCGCTGATACAACTGGAACAGCCTTCCAGGCCATGATGATCCACATCCTCACCAACCCATCAGTCTACAAGAAGCTAATGACTGAGCTCGACGACGCTACTGTTGCTGGGAAACTTTCCGAGATGCCGCAGTACGACGAAGTCGTCGAGAACTGCCCCTACTATATCGCCTGCGTCAAAGAAAGCATGCGTCTCAACCCCTCGGCACCAAACATCTTCCCCCGCATCGCTCCGCCAGGCGGCCTCGAGATCTGCGGCCAATTCGTGCCCGAGGGTACCGAAGTAACATGTAACCCATGGCTCGTGCACCGTGACCCTAATATCTACGGTGATGACGCCGAGGTCTTCAAGCCTGAGCGTTGGCTAGATGAGGATAAGGCCAAGGTTTACAACAAGTATAGCATGGGCTTTGGTTATGGTGCTAGAGTCTGTCTAGGCCAGGATGTTGCGCGCATGGAGCTTTACAAGGGACCGTTGCAGTTCTTGAGGAGCTTCAAGGTGGAGTGGGTTGATGAGAAGAACAGGGGAACGTATGTTGTTAAGGGCGGCGTGAGTTACTTTGAGAACATGAACATCACGATCCAGAGACGAGAAGTCACCGCATAGAATACGCAGCTACAACTAATGCGATCCCACTAAGCTATCTCCCATCAAATGCCACGAAAATGCGCGATTCATTCCGTCCTACTCCACCTTTCTGACCGAAGGTGTTTTCATGGTCCGTAACCCGGCAATCACGTTCCTTTGCTTGAACGAAATGAACACGGAGTCTGCAGAATCTTGCTTAATATCCTAGTGTTGCTATTAGAAAGTTTTGCACATTGTATGTTAATTCTGAAGAGGGAATAGAACAACCCTGTATGACTCTGGGCTCTTGTAGTTGGAATAGAATGCCCCGGTTAGTCACCGTTACTCTCGCACATTCAGCTCACAGCATTCACATGACACAAAAGTGACTGATAGTTTAGTACAAGAACAATCCTGGAATGAGCGAGTAACTCATGTGAATGGGATACATCAATGCCTTGGCAAAGACAATGCCAAATCATTAATATACAGCAAGTAAGGGCATTAGTTACACTGACACTTGGGAGAGAATACTGAGGGCACGAAAACAAGATTTAATATTTCTTGATTTGGAGGAATTGTCCTATAATGAAATATCCCATCCTCGATTAGCCTTTAAGCTTTCTGTGCGTCTTCCTGTCCTTTCATTTCCTCTTTCAGCGCTTTTTCTATGTCTTTCAGTGAGCCCTGCCGAACACCAGAGTCTTCCATTGCCTGAAGTTCGGGTAGCAGATCCTTTTGCTCCCACGACGTGATGGCATAGTACTTCAAGTCCACTTCCCAGCAATGGTACTCGCGGGATATTCCATCCCCATCGAAAATGGTACTCAATGCCTTCGCAAGTTTGAAATCGTCCTTGACGTATGGCGAAGGAATAACACACTCAAAATAGTCCAGATGCACTGTTCCTTTGAATGTTCCCCTGGGCACATGAGGCATCTTGTAGTTTTTCTTTTGGTTTTGTGAATGATTGAGAGAGGTTTAAGTGTGTATGTTGATGGCGTGATATGTATGTGATGGTGGTTTGTGTTCTTGACTTATCATTGGGCATTCGAGGGAGGAATATGGAATACTTATGGGGTGGAAAAGAACAGGAGAAGATTCAGCTACCATTCGCAACTGCAATCGCTGAATAGTGCGGTTGAAGCAACTACGACAAGAATTATCACCCCTGAATAGGCGATTTCACTGATGGGTGACGCGGTGTCAATATGTGTCTACTCTGAGTCACTTCTATCGCCAGCCCGGATCACTACGCAAATGCTATGATTGTCTCTGAGACTCTGCAGAAGCTTCCTGGTGATTAAATCAGAGCCCTCAAAACACACGACTTACTGGCCTGTTGATGGAAATTTTGGTCTTGTTGGCGGTCGTGGGAACCATATCATAGTTTCCTGTTCGGCTGACACTTACCGCTGGAGGACGGGACTTTCCTCAACTCTTGGGGCCAGGCTTAGGAACACCCGATCATTGGATCATTTTTCTGCTTGCCAATAGTAGTCTACTTGGTAGTGACAACAACAGTTGGGTGTGATACAGTTGCGGAAGTGGAGTAAATGGATGCAAGACCAATTATCACCCGTCGTGGAGAGCTTTATGTAGAAATTCTATAGTGAAACAAAGTATGATATTCTGATTATTGGCGTCAGCGGCTTGACGTTCCAGTTTGTGTCTAAATACTATATCCAGAGCAAAATGCAACACCAGGAGTCCAAGACTATGCCATAAATAGGTGGCAACCCTGTTCGTTCTAGAAGAGGGACCACGATTCAATGAACTAATAAAATTATAATCTTAATGAATGTAGAGCAAAAGAGGAATATGTACTGTGGCTTTCTAATATTTATCAAAAGTTTTTAAAACCATAATACTGCATGTGTCAGATCGTTTCTCAGAATACAAAAACCAATCCTTGAACGCGAAAACCGCTCAAGACTTCTCATTTACACCTATCAATCTCACTATCAATATCACATGACACAAAACTCAAACCTTGAGGATTACCAGAACCCATATCACCACTTCCTAATGGCAGACGTAAATGAGCTCCTTCCCGAATGGAAGCATAACATCCCAACTAAGAAGGTCAAGGATTAGGATGCCCTCCGTGTAGCCCTGAAGGAATTTTATGGTGGGGGCTCACGTATCGGTGAGAATAATTGGGTAGCCAGAGGTCGCCACGGATACAGTGGTCTGGAAGGAAGAGCGCAAGAACCTGCTGGAGGAGCTCCAGAAGAAGGATATCGTGGAGAGGTCATAGGGGCGAGTCCCATGATTTGGAATGAGTTGTTAAAGGATGTGGGAGTATTCGGTCGCAACGGGACGTAAGTAACGATACTTCTAACATTCAAAGGTTACCGAATCATGTCATGGTAGAATAGTAAACGTTTTTCTTGGCGTGGCTTGGTACTACAGCCGTAGGTTCTGGGTCTCGGTCGACACTCCTTTGCCATGTTATTCCTATCACAGTTGATCCAGGACTACACGAGCCTGCGACCTAAAGAGAAGTATATTTGATGGTAGCAATGAGATAGCTCAGAGATACATCAACTTCGAAAGGAAACCGAGTCTTGGCGGTATTCGTATGGCTGAGTGGATGATTCAGAGGCGTATGAAGCTTGAGCTCTCTGAGTCAAGATTCCTGGTACGTGTATAATCACAAAGGATACTAATTCACAAGGCTTCATCAATCGAGTTACATACCAGCCCAGTCACCAAATCAGGGACAAACAAGCTCAATGTGACTGCTTAGACAGAGGTACTCAGGGACATCTAACAAGTATAATACAACCTTCCTGGCCATACTCACTCAGCGAGTCAGCACTCACCATTCGCACTTGAACAAAAACAAAACCCAGAGTCACCAAAGCAAAGTGGATACACTTACAATCCGCAAGAAATCACCATGGAACCAATTAATACAGATCACAAGAGGCTCGTTCCGCGCCGCCTTATCACAAACACGGCGGACTTTTACTTGGGCCTAACAGAGATATATGGCTATTTAGCCAATGGCGGGTGGTCGTGGTCTATGGGCAGTACGACAGACGATCAAATCGTGTACGCGCCCAGAGCAGAACCGGAAGACCTTGTGGCGGAGCTTCAGAAAGGCGGGTTTATTGAAAAGGGGACGGTTGAGGAGACGGCTACGACCACGGCTCCCTAGCCTGAGGGGGAACATGGAACACCGGGGGAACAGTTGTTCTAAGCGAAGACTTACACGGCCCTCATGCGTTTTTGCCTGAGCTTTGCTGCAAAACCCCAAGATGCTTCGCTCTTATTCTCTCATTATGCTGGCTTCACTCAATAACATACCCACCATTTGACGCCTATCTTATGAGACCAAGATCCCAGAAGGGCCGGGACTGTAAAATTATGTTAGTCTTGATGTATCGAAATGAAAGGAAAGATTTTGATGCTAAATGATGACGTACAAGAGAAGCAAACATGCCAATGATTTGAGATCCCTTTCCGTGAACTGTACTCCAGCCTTTATCTGTTCCGTAAGGGTAGTCAGGCGTTTGAATATTTCGGTCTAGGTTAGTTTGAACCTAAAAGCATCAGCCATGGCGGTCTTGCAAGAGTCCATTGTGTGAATGCCTTTAACCCAACTAAATATGTCCCCTTTGTCTGTAACTCAATGTTAGACAGTCGCTCACCAGACGGGCCGTCAATAGGGAAAGATACAGTGCTGTCGTGAGAGTCGGAGATGTAAAGCGGAACTTGATTCCCGCCACATGGCAGATGTCAAAGACCCATATGACAATCTCCGACAGATGCGACAGATATCGGTCATCTGATTGGTCAAAAAAGTCGGTGGTTACTGGAAGATTGTATTTGGGTGGGGGCTTATCACCTGTGCTTCCGCTGAATAGTAATCCGTCTCTAGGCACTTCAGGATACCATGGACAGTTGTTCAGCCAGTCCTCCTGGTTGGGTATTTTGTCACGACTAAGGGAGACAAGCTTGAGAGCCTTACAAATGTTCGTACATGTCAGCTAACTCAGTATGTGGCATAGTAGAAACTTACATCGAATTCAGCTTTTACTACAGAAACTCCTTGGGCTCCTTTTAATCGCCATCGTGGAAGTCCAGGTGACTCGCCCGCCCAGGAGGTGAGTGTTCCATCACTCTGAACTGCAGCAATACCTTTGATCCCGGACAGCTCCATGGCGAGTTCCCATCCCCGGATCGGCTCATCAAGAAGTGGAATGTGTAACATCGTATCCTCATGTTGGTACCTTGCAGCATGAGATTGATTATGGCTATGAACCAGGCTGAAGCCAGAGATGAATTTTTAAGCCGCTGTATCAATAAAAGATACTGACATCTTTCGAAGCTTGACAGGCTCTGTGAAGTATAGGGCACGAGCCCTCAGAACTCGGGAGCCGTAGAAAAAGCTTTTCCCCGGATTGGAAATGGCGCGTGAAGCTTTATGCCAAGAGACTCCAGATTGAAATTTTTTATGACTTGAATCATCAAGTATACTTTCGAACCAGGTGTCTAAAGGGGAACCTTGGCAAGAAACGCCGTCAAGTTGAGTAAGGGTAGCTCGAAGACGCTTAGCAGGACCCCAAACTCGCTGGCGGTTGGCCATACTTGGGATCCCACGTGACCAGATGTTGAGAGAAAAATATAGAGCTCTCCATGATTCAGGAGGCCGGTCATGAACTTCAGGCAAATGTTCAAATTCGTAGCCAGTTTGGAACCGCGATGCCCAGAACCTTTCGGTGATATCATTGACCGTATATTCACCGACTAATATGTGTTATGTTGCCGAGATCGAGATCCTTGAGACGCAGATCATCATGAACCATTCCCAAGAGTACTAGGGATCCAGAGTTGGACCGTCATCTTGTGGTCAGAAGGATAAACGTTCGTCGAATTCGCTCTTCTCAGAGTTCAGAGTAGTTACCAAACGCCAAGGTAAGTCAGCATAGTAGGTTCGAAGGGAGGTCTCATGTTACTGTCATGTCTTCATCCTATTCCAGATTGGCTGCAGATCCCTAGGGAAGACCGAATGATCCAATATGGTAAGATATATTTGTGCGCAATTACACTGCCTATGTTATCCATTGAGGAAAACGATGCGACTTACCATATTAGCTTTCCCCAGTTTAGTCCTTTCCAATGTCTTGGCTCCCCCTCTGCTTTTAACCTCATCCCTGGAAAAGTAAGCTTAATATCAAGCTGCGGTCTGGGGTGATGATCCCCCGCTTCATACGGAAATCCGCTGCGATGATGCAAGGGAGCCAATAGGCAATGAGTATGTAACACTTCACTTCACGATCACAGCTCTCGAAGGAAATAGGGCGGGAAATGCTGAAAGAATTAACGGCAGCCCATTATTTAGGCTGACAGAACTGGATCATGTGGTTCACAAGTTTCATTGCATAATTGGTTCACTCTGGGATGCAGGCACGTGGCAAAAACAAGCATTCAAAAGAAGACTGGATGAATTGTATTAACAGAACACCAAAACAACCTTGAAGGTTGCTGGGAACTATTTGAATAAGTTCTGAAGTACTAGAGCCGCTGTAGATCATAAAGCGGTTCTGCAAGAGTGCAATTCCAAGAATTTGTTACTCGGAATATATGCTGTCCACTTCCTTGGAGTTAAATTTGTTGTATGGCCATTTATCCACAGAGAAGAGGATGTGTGACTGTAGTTTCGTTTGAGATCAACTCCAAATGTAGTCTTGAGCAGACCATAGGAGAGTGCGACAATGCAGACTGAAATAATAAACAGTGAGGCGCTGCCTTTTGAAGGCCCAGTAAAGAGATGTGGGTTGAAAGAATAAAGTGAGGTATTGATAGTCATTGAGTTATCCTCCAAACTTATCAGAGTCAGTATAAATACTGGCCGCATACAGGAAGATAAGCGTAAGTAACCAATGGCACAGGTACAACATAAGCCGGCGGCGGACTCTGCGCATAGTAGGCAGCTGATAGTCCCTGCTGATACCCCGCAAGATGAGCAGCAATATAAGGGTTGTGCTGCAGTGAAGAGCCGCCAACACTCGAACTTGAGGTTGACTGACTGGTCGGCTCGCTCGAGGGGAGGGGCTTTGGTACAGCACCCTTTTGATACCCCTTTGGCCGGTAATTAGCCAGACAAGCCGACCTCTCTGTCCTTCCAGGGTGGTAGACCACATCAAACTCCCCAGACCCAGCAGAGTTGGTGATTATACGAACTGGGCCCGGTGACCCAGACACGTAACCCTTGTTCAAGCAGAAGGGGTACTCTTGCCAGGGACCCGACGACTGAAGAGCAAGCTCTTCTTTGTTATGAAATCGTCGCGGGTAAATAGACTGGCTCGATACAGGGCTAGCTGGAATCTGCTTTGCCTGTTTCCTGACTTGGCTTGCTGGGATCTGTCGGTACCACTTGTCCAAGGTCAGGTCAGATAGTGAATAGTAGGAGCAGTCTGAATCGGTCTCCCAGTTGTCTTGTGTAGGTGAAGGGGATGGCAATCCTCCTTGATTATTAAGCTGATCCAATTGACGCAGCGCTTCGGAAGTAAGAGCAGACATTTTTAAATGGTATATGTCGCTTAAAGAAAGGTGAAGATGAAGATCGGATGGAAGTCCAAGATAAAGAGAGTGGTAGGTGTATAAGCTAAGCTTAGGACAAGGGTCAAAGTCTTTGCTCGCTGTTGCTGTGTCGAAATGCCAGGCAAAGTTTACCAAGTAGTGATAGTGAAGAGATGAAGAGAAGTATGTGCGCTACGTTGATATGTGGGCCAAAGTCTGGTGACTTGCCGAAAGTAGAAAGTGAGTTGTCAACAAAGAATGAGCTGATAAAGAAGAAGATAGCGTTGACGTAACCGTAAGCTGAGAATAGAAGACTTGTGACTTGAGCAGCAGGCAACTGAAGAGTATGAAGAAGGGAAGTTCAGAAGTCAGGATGAAGGGGACAGGAGGGGAGTTTATACCCAGCATCCATTAGAGTTTCAGGACACAAGATGGCCCCGAGCCCTATGCCCTATTGATTCGAGAAGATCGTGGAGGAGAAAGGAATCATCCATGCGTATCTTGCTCAGTCTAACTTCGTGAATGAAGTGAGGCTGACCGTGTATTGTGTTTGAGTTAGGGTTGGTTACTGACCGTGAATGAACTCTATCTTACAAGCCCGAACGAAAGTGCACATGTCAAAAGTCAAAATTTCCATAGTTAAGTATGCTGGGTTTTTTGATAGGTTGGGCACAGTGTGCTCGCGGTTCCCGGGGGCAAAGGCCGAGCTGTGAAGGTCGCGATTCGACAGTCTCGGAATGGCAAAGAACCACCTTAGACCATGTGTTTGGGCCAGTCGTGTAATTTGAACCAGTATCATGGTAAAGCGCACGGTGCAAGCCTCATATTAATAGCTTGAGTCACAAGATAATAAGGAGAGACGGGAAAAAGTGGTAGTACAAACTCTATTTCTTGTGCTATTATTGGACGATTTATGTTAACATAGATAACCAAGATTAACTTTCAGTTAAAAAGTGTAAGTTTGTTTTCAAGGAGACCATTGGTGGTCATCATATCATACTAGCATAAGTCGTATGTGAATGACTTTTACATGGTGATATGAGAAATATTGGGGTGTGATACCATTAAATTCGGCGACAAAACTCTAGCATACCAAAACCCCTTTCCATTCCTAGAGCTGATTTCTTGCTGCTCTAAGCTGAGTTGATGCTGAGCCCGGGCTGGGGTGGGTTGAGGGTTCTTAGCAGGCCCATTTTTGGGATCACATACCTGGCCAGGGTCGTATACAGGGGACTGAATATGGGCCCAAGACAAAACCAACCATATTAAGGCAGAAACGAACTCACACCAACAGATAGGAATTCTCTGTAACAAATATCGTTACAGCAGAGGCCGAAACCAGAGGCCATCCAGCGTGTTTCAGAAAGTTTCTGAGCATGGACTATATCATGACCAGTATGGCTTGGCACAAAGCACAGAACTGTCATGACTACCCAACATCGAGGATGCCTGTCATTTTCGTTTACTGCCACGACGTTGCCGCTTCTGAACGCGACGAGGTCAGCATGTGCTATATCATTCACAATTTCACACCGCACATGCTCATTGCATACACCGACAGATATTCTAGCAAGAAGCACAAATCCAACAATGGAAGTCCCAGAAACGTATGCGATACGTCTTTCCCATCTGTACCTATGTTTCCGTAATGCTTAAGAAGCCCAACATTGCTGCGAGCACTATCAAATACTAACACCAATGTTGAGGCAATTCATACCGAAAACACATAAACGGAAGAGATGATTATGTTAAAAGAAACTTTGAGTCCTTGGCATTGATAAAGGACACATAGTCCCACGTCACGTATATATGGAATCGCCTAGCTGAGTTCCTTGAGATCTTAGGCAGATAGGGAACCGACGGTTCATTGTTCTTAATATCAACTAGCGCCTGACAAGCCATAATCCTAACTAACTACTCCCTTCTGCAAGCTTTCTTCCCAACTGATATATTTCCCCATCATTCTACCTACCCCAAGGCGTCTGAATACTTGTTGGCCCTGCGAGTCCATATTCGGTACTTCAATCAAGATCATGACATAAAAGCTCTTCTCATTCCTCTCGACACCTTCTTTAGACTTGGCAACGATAGCACATTTGGGCCGATAGCCCTCAGAGGTGGCTTTGCGCTCAGGGTTATCATATATAAGCTCGATTTCGCCAGGCCAGTGACCCGCAACATTAAAAGGTCGCGCGGTCACTTTGAGATGACGGGAGCTAAGAGTGCCCTCGCTACCACCGCTTGTCCGTGACCATGGGGATTCCACTTCTGTCATTTCCCAGTCGACCTTGTTGAATGGCGGGTCAAGGTAATCGATGCCACCTTTGAAGGCCATCCAGGACCAAGTTGGCATGGAATCTTCTGGGCGTCTGGAAAAGTCGATTAAATCCAAGACTGGCTCATCCTCGCTTCTCTTCCATAGTAGGCTACGATGGAAGAGCCCATGGCCAGGTCCGTCATGAAAGATTCCGTAACCACCCTTGGCCCAATAGTCATCACGCAGACGATAGGCTTTGCGAAGACGGCTTTCAAGTCCAGCAATTGCTAGTGGGCGATCTTGTATATGGCTGAGCTCAAGCTGAGAGTACTGCTGGTAGAGTGCCTGGAAGTAACGGATTTTGAGGCCTCTTGACTGTGTCCTCATCGCCTTTTCTGGAAACCTAGCATCACCAAGAAGATCTGCCAGCGTGCTATGAAACAGATAAGAACAGCATTAGCAAGGATAGAACAACTGACAGAAGGAGCACAGTGATGAGGTTCCTACTTACTTCTGCATCTTCGTCAGAGTCTCACATCTCACACCCTCGCCACACTCGAAATAGGTCTGAGCGTCCGCAAAGTACACAGTACGTCGAGCCAAAGCACGCTCCTGGAGGACCCAGCCACGGCGGTTCAAAGCACCTTCGAGAATATGGCCACCAAAATTATCAATTGCTTCACAAACGTAGAGCGGGGGTGCTCTACCTTGCTCAATGGTGACAAACTTGCGTTTTGGTCGCTCTTTTATGAAGCCTTCAAGCTGGTTGGAAGCCCGGCTAGCCGCAATGACACAATACGCACAACTGAAAACGTCTTCCATGCGCTTAGCCTCGGTGTTGAAGTCGCCTCCCTCTCCTTGAACAATGCACAGTGAATCAATCCAAAGATATCGAATTCCAAGGCGACGTGTAACATCAATGGCATCTTTGAATGTCTGTGGCACATCGTCTTGTGGCAAGGCCATTTTGAATGATTGAAGGTCATGGCCCCGACCTGTGGGATCTTTGAACCGGGTACAGAATGGGGGGTGTTCCTTAGTATCACCCCAGCGATGAGAAAGAGCAATGTACCTTTTATCGTCCAGTGCTCTGTCCGCAGTCTCGACCAAGCGGAGGATTGGCGAACCTCGACTCCCAACATCGATCAAGCGAGTAGGGAGGCTGACATCACCTTTGAACTTGCAGCCTCCATGATTTCCGTCACAATCATCAAGCCATTTTCGAATGATTTGGAGCTGTTGCTCAGAACCAGACTCAGGAAGGTTTGGTAGCCCGATTTGAATGCTAGTAGGTGAAGGGGCATCTAAAATATCAATTCCTTAGCTTGAACTTGTGGGTTTTAGTAGAGATCATTACCGTGGTGAGCTGTTAGTGACAGAGCCGGCATCGGCTCATTTTGTACCCCGAATATCTTGAGAAGAGATCCAGTTCGCTCGAAACAAACTGTTCCTTGTATCGCCCCTTGTTGAGTGCTCAAAGATTGAGACCAAACATGCCAAAGGAGGGAACACAATTCACAGTGCTGAGAACCTTGTTCGAGCTCACCAGAGTCCCGCTTAATGTCTAAACCTGTGTTGGAGAAATCAAGGCTGCGACATCGATGACAGAGTTCTGCCGTTGAACTTGTATGAGCAGGGAACCAAGAACCGCCATGTGTATCTCGTATAACCTTCTTGGCAAAGGTATTATCAATTGGAAATTCCCATTTCTCGAGCTAGTTCTAGTATCAGTAACATTCACAGGCGCCAGAAACTACGCATAATAGGTTATAGTTTACTCACAGGCTATTACATCAACGATAACCATGGGTCAGAGGTTGATGTCGTAAAGTATCGATTGAAAGCGATAATAACTTACAGGCTTTAGATCAGAAAGATTAGCATTTCCTCCACATACTTCAATTGTAAAAACACAAACTTACAAGCTATGATGAGTGACGGTCATAGGTCAGCCAGAGTTATCCGGCTATGTTTTGATTTCATAATAACTCACCCCCTAGCCATGTCAACAGCCTGACCAAGGTGCAAAAGGTTCAGTACATATTCAACATACATACTAATAGAAGTTAGTAAAAGTAATTAGTAATAAGATCTACAGTGGGCTATACGTACGTCCTAAGCATATCATCATGTTACTGAATGCTCAGCATATTCATGGTCTCATATATTCATACTTACTTTCTGTCCCAGAGTAAGTAACCTGCGATCAGCCTTCTTATAATATTTGCTGGAACCTGTAAATGATAGACTTTACTCACTCGCGAGCCTGTGGAAGGTGGAGCCAATCCTTTGCCCACTGTGGAAACCTTGCTAGTCAGATAACCCATTCCGGGGTGCAGTAGAGGTGTAAAATTGGGCGGAGGGGCCGAAGAACGCAAATCTGAACTCCTAAGTAAGTAGTTCTGACACCTTCCTACCTTTTCCAATATTACATTCATAGCGTTTTCGAACTCTTTCGATGTGGCCCTAGGTTGATTGGGGACATCTTGAGAATCAGGGAGAGGGGATTGATTGGACTGCCGGCTGGTATCAAGTAAAATTGTAGGTCGACGAACCGGTAGAGGGACTACTAGAAGTCTTTCTTCTACAAGTTGGAGAAGGCCCTTAATGGCAGATTCCTCCTGGCATTCCGGGTGCGTCGTTTTGATGTGTGAAATCCAGTGAACAACGGCAGGATGGACTTTTGCTCTTTTTTGAGAGTAGTTTGCATCCAGTTGGTAGTAAGGGGTGAAGTCGTTTCCGTAGCCTTTAAGGTCAGAGTAAAACCTTTGGAGCTGGCCATTTCCGTATAAAATCCAAATAACCCATTCCAGCGTAATACAGCCCATAGACCAGACATCATACTGGCGAGATCTACCAGAATGGGATGTCTGTGCTTCAGGGGCCTCATAGAGAATAGTTCCGTATCTAGTTGATGTAAGACAGGACCGGTCCTGGGTAGCAACAACGTGACGTTTTGCGAGGCCCATGTCAGCAATTTTGAGATATCGGGTTTTCTTCGATCCAGGGGTTTCTTCTAAGAACCAGAGAAGGTTCTCTGGCTTAAGATCCCCATGCCTAATAGACATATTGACTCCAGTCTGGTCGTATTCATCCTTTAAACTGGCGGGCAGGTCTGCCAAATCATCGGGCAGTCCAAAGTAATGGAGCTGACGAAGCGCAGTGGCTAGGCCCTTGAGCTGAATGAGTGCCTCAGTAATGGCAGCTCTCCCATAGAACCTTTCAGAAGGTGTTTCCCAGTACTCTCGTAGATTTCCATCTTGAGCCCAAGGAAAGAGGAGATATCGCTCATTTCCCCTTTCGATAGCGGCAATACAGGTGATGAGGTGCGGGTCACTAAGAGACTTGGTTTTCTCCAAAACCCGGACTTCGTTAGGCCAAGCTTCAGCTACAGTCTCACGCTGCTGTGTTGGGTTTGTGATTTCTTTCACAGCAATCTTAAGGGATTATCACAATCAGTAACTCGACTATAAATCTAATACATATCAGAGTGGGAACTTACACGCTTAACCGGAAAGCCAATATCAATGTGGGACTGCTCAATCTGGACACAATATACTCGACCGAATGCTCCTTCTTTGGGGTTCCCAACAACTTGGAGAAAGGGAAGAACTTGGTGCGCCTCGAGCCTATATCTGAACTGTGTTGAGGTAATTACAGGAACTACAAATCTCCACTGAGATCGTCGGAAATTTGTATCCATCTCTTTACTCCAGACATCGTGGAACCAGGTTTCGTTTTCAATATCATCGATTGGGAGAAACCTGCTGGAATCAGTCCAAGGCATCTGGTCGTCATCAAGTCCACGTGCCTGAAAGCAATCGAGTGAGTAAAGCTTGTCAGATGGGCCCTCGACTAGACGGCTGTCTAGGATGGTGAGAAAGAGTTTGCGAGCCTTGTGGAGGATCCATTGGATGAAGGCTTCGTCTTCTGGCTTGAAGGGGTTTGCAGAGCCGGAGAGTTCTTGAATAATAGCCTCTCGTGAAACAAGCCTGTCGATGCGAGCTTTTGGCAGGAATTTGAACTTGCAACCTAGCGGAAACTGACTATCAACGAGCTGTTCCGACAACTGTGAAGCTAGGTTTCGTTGGCGTGGTTGTTGAGGAGGCCGACGACCGCTGGTCGATCGGCATTCTTGGGACTCCATCGGTGAGCGAGCGGTCCCAGTGTTCTTGACTACGATATTACTCTTTTTTCAATCAAGAGGGTTGTAGGGAATAAGAAGTAGACACCATTTGGTACCTCTATGCAGTTTCAAATAACAATCACAATTCTCTTTACCACCAAAAAGTCTCGCCTGACTCTGTCACACCTACGTCTCCAATGCAACACATTTGAAAAGGATGTTCAGCTCGCTGAAAGAGTGCATATCGGTGTGAAAGTGGCTGAAAGCCCCTCACCAGCAACCAATGAAGAACAAAGTACAAGTAGCCAAGCACCCACGTTTCAAACCCCCAGTGCTATGAAGCACGAGGCTGTCAGAAAACCACTCCCTTGCCAAGACAGCCTGTTCTATTATACAGCCAAACGGAGGTTGCGAAAATAATGAAACTGGGACTCTTTTAGGCATGTGAATGTCATATGAGCACAATTTTCAGCATTTAATTGAAATTGCTCAATACACCGCCATCCACAAACAAAACAAATTGCATATGTTGTCATCTCGTGTCGCTAGGTCCTTCATGGAAGAATGCCTTATGCCAAAAATACAAAATGGGAGAAGACCAGAAGATCGCTCGGCTAACTATGGTTCGCCGCCCTCGCAGGTATCGGAAAAGTGGAACCGTCAGAATATCTGGGGTCTGGATGATTTGTTATGATCGACGCATTCGACGACACTGAGCGATTTCGCCCTAAATTACCAGTAAGTATCGAAGCCGAAGTCTAGTCCTGCACCATACTAACAGTAGTGAGCCGTCTAGGGGCTTTTATTGAATAGGTGTTATGCATCATCTTTGGAAGCAAGTCAGTTTCCATTCAACAGATGGATGATTCATAGTTACCTGGACTTCATACGCGCCTGAAAACTTTATCCGAAGCATAGTAAGAAGTTTGATGGGGTCCATATTTCTACCAGCAATCTCCTGTCTTACTGACTTGTCGAATTGCTCGAGGTAGAGCTCGTAAGAGCTGCGTGTCGCGATTTCTGTTGCCTGCAAGCACATGGTATAACTAGGAGTAATTAAAGAGATGTCGGAAGAATGGTGAGGATGTAATAATCAGTAAACTCACTTCGACAGCCATTGAAGAACGGACTTGCCGTCACGGATTTATATGGTATTCGAAACACTGAGGCAAACTTGGGCGCAAACAATACAAGGGACTTTGACCACTGGGTGGCTGAAGCCTAGCAGGCAAATGGAAACATCACCCCTCATTCGCTCGGTTGCCTTTTTCCACTTGGGAGGCCTCAAAAGCTGGGGGGTGGCCAAGTATGTCTACATGGCTTGAAAGAGAGGCAGTGATTGGCCTATCCTTGTAATCAACAGGGGGGCCAAGGGCATGCCGGTCAGCTTGGCTTAGCCTTTTGCGATTGAAAAGATACTTGCACTTTTAGTACTCACTCTCTCCCACCTGCAGATGCTGCAAGCCACGGCGTTTGAGGCTCTTGGCGGGAGCAGCTAGACCATCCTGTTTGCGGCTGAGATCATTTGCCCGAATGGCAGGAGCAATATGGATATATAAGACTTTTCGTAGCAAGAGCAAAAGTACTTTCCTTGAGGTTTAACGTTCGCTTTGACGACTTTATTAACTCGTCAGCGTGCGTTGACCTCCTATCGTCCCACTTTGTACAGGCATCCGGGTAATGCGGATAACATCACCAACAGCGCCCAACGTTCCAGTACCAACCACTATGCAACCAAAGATTGAGGGCGACGAATCTATGAATGACAGTTGTCTGAGCTCCAGCCAGTCGTCATCCACCCCTCTATCAGCAAACACCCCGCCTGGGCAGTATCTGAATCCACTATCGGGGGCTCGAAAACGTCACATAGAAGAGTCAGATGACACACTTGTCGCACAAGTAAGCCCTTGGTCCTGGAGTTCCTCCCAAGAAGGGTGGTGAGTCATACTTACTTATAATCGCATTAGGTTGATGAGCAAAGCTCGCCCCGAGAAGCTGTCGGTGATAAAACAAAGCGCATTGGTGTCATTGACACAAGTAAGGCCAATGACTTCGGCACGCACGCAAGCCCGTTCTCACCGCCAACACTGGCCTCAGCCCCAACAGTTATCTCAGATGCGGGAAACCAGCAGTTTAAAGAGTTCAAGGCTCGAAAGTAGGCGGTGAATGATTCGACTATCAAGGTAATCACAGATGTGTCTGCTTCGATTCTTCCCTGGCGACCTGCCTCCAGCTCAGCCAGGCGCCGAGGACCCAGGTCAAGACCAGCTCGCGAATTCGAGCTCCAACAGAAGCTCCGCAATGCACGCCAGATTATTAAGAATCCTATGTATCATGGACATGAGAAATATTTCCTCCCGCGAGGAGAGCTTGAACGCCTCATCAATATGGAGTCAGTTACTAAGGAGCTGATAGCACGTGGATTCAAAGAAGAGTTAGCTCATACAACTGCTATCGATGTTTGCCAAGAGACAAAAGTGCCTGGAGCGAAGAAAGACAAGATCCAATCATATCAACAAATCTTTGCGATATTGGTTTTCATGGGTCAGTCCAGCAGCATTGTATATTTCATGGAAGACAGTGTGAGCGACCTCGACCTTCCTCTAGTCGAGCGGAAGAATCCTGAGAGCCCAAGCGGTAATAGCTTGTACCGAAGGCATTCGATTCACGACCCATTGGAATGCACTGAGCAGTGGAACGAAGATCAATGGATAGAATGGAGCCCAGAGCAAAAACGCCTGTTCTGCGAGTATCAGTGGTTGATGATGGCACCATTCTTCTCGCTCAAAACTTCCAACAAGGTTAGCCATTACAACCTGGAAGATCAGCGCCTTCTACCTTTCATTGACGGCAAAGAGGTCTTATCTGGCAAGCCTTCTCAACAGGATAACGAACACGTCGTGGATTTGGAGGAAATTGAGAGTGGATTCTCGAAAGTCTTCATGATATGGGTACACCCTCAGCATCACAACCTCTCAAGAGATGAATGTGACCGCGGCTTTGCAATCAAGCAACTAATGAAGCCTAGCGAAGATGACTTCAATCAGGAAGTTGAAATGTTGAAAAAGTTCATTGGCGACAGAAGTCATCCACACATTGTTTCCCTCCTGGCTACATACAAGCAATATGGTAGATATCACATGATCTTCCACCGGGCAGATGGTAATCTTTTTGAATACTGGAGAGACATATGCCCAACTCCCAAGTTCAATTACGACACAGTCAAGTGGGTTGCCAAGCAGCTCGCTGGTCTCTCTGATGGTCTTCTACGTTTTCATAAGCACACTTCATTCTTGAAATGCTGCGAAGAACCGGTACAGCCAGATATCAATGAAAGCGGGTGGCTAAGGGGCCAATCTCAACCTAGGAAGAGAGCTAGATTCGAAGTGACACCTGCATCTCCATACGATAGCAAAGAAGAGCAGGGCCCTGCAAAGCCGAAGACCAAGTATGGCCAACATGGAGATCTGAAACCGGAAAATATTTTGTGGTTCCCAGATTCAGAGGATCCAATCGGCATCCTTAAGATTTCTGATCTAGGGCAAGCTCAGCTCCATTCAACGCAAAGCAAGACAAGGCGTGAAAGCAATGGAGTTCATACATTGACCTACCGGCCACCAGAGACTGATATTGAGCCCTACATCATGCGCCAGTCTGGGGATATATGGTCTTTTGGCTGCATTGTCCTTGAGTTTATCACGTGGGCTCTTGGCTCTTGGGAACTCGTGGATGAGTTTAAGACGAAACGAGCATCTGAGGACCTATACTCTCCGATCAAGTCTGACACATTCTACGAATTAAAGCAAGTGCCTAGTTTAAACCACTCTGGCGCCCAAATCAAACCAGCGGTCACTCAGGTATGTAAATTTGCATTTGGCCCGTTCTTTCCTTTCTGTGTATTATTCGCACAAATCTGGCTAGGCACCTAGTTCGCTGACAATTGTATGCGAGTCTTTAGCATATTCAGAGTCTACGGTCACATCCAAAGTGCACAGAATTCTTTTTGGACGTCCTTGAATTGGTTGAACGAGGAATGCTCACTATTGAACCGAGCGAAACCTGTTTGGACCACAGTCGCAGGAAGAACTGTGGCGAGATCCAGTACTCACTTGCAAAATATTATAGAAAGTGTTTGAAGAACGAGTCCTACGCGGTTAGACCTCGCGAAACAAGTGCTGCTAGTATATAAGAAGTCACGTATCTAGTTAATAATCCTGTTAATATTATGCATTACTTTATAAGAATCTACCAAGATAAAAGCTAGAAGATAAGACTGAGTCATATATATATAAACATTATTAAGCTGCTAGCAATAATTTTAATTTTCATTGATATATAAAACAAGCTAGAATATCAATAAGTTAACTTTTTTAAGCTTTATATTTACTTAAATTTAAAGCTTTAGGTTTATTTAAATAATAAAAATAAAAAAAGCATTTAACAAAATTAAGTCTTTAATAAATAATAAAACACTCAGCGCCTCTATCATAATTATGTTCACGATTATATACTTGATGACATCTTAGGAGGCAGTACACGAGAGTTTAATTGTTTGATAATGCCCAAGCGTCCATTTTAAGTCGTGTATCATACCTAATCTAAGACAGGTTTTAAGCCTGCCATGTAAAATGCCCTTCCATCGCCTCGCTTTTGTCTACTTCATGCCTTCTCCGGACCTTGAGCATATTGTCTCCAAAGGGGGTTCTCTAATAAATTCTCCATCGCACTGTTCTCCGTACCAACGAACACCTCAACACCAGGACCCGCATCAGGTCGATCAGGCAGAATGATGTGCATAGAGTGAGTCACTCCGACCGATGGTGGCCGAATAGCCTTGATTTGGCCACCGAGAGCAGGACCCCATTGGATATCATAAAAAGGAAACTCTCTCCAGGATGAGAACAAGGCATGGTTGCCTGGCATGTCCAGGAAAATGACAGGTATTAATCGTGACACGTTACCAAGGCCGTCCACGAGGGAGCTGATGGTGGCCAGGTACGTGTCCTTGGATTTGTTCACGGCGCCTCGGACAACGAGAGCAATGTCTGCTAGGCTGACATCTTCATGTTCTAGAACCTTCTCGATGTCCATGATGGCTGGTGCGAAGCCAAGAATGTTGCCAAGGGTATGCTTGTGAATAGACTTTCCAGCACGACGACGAGCATCAAGAGCCAGACCAACCATAGATGGTCCAGTAGGTTTATCCTCACCCTCCTTCTTCGCATGCTGTGCCGTCATAGTGCATCGCCAGACCAGCGCAGTCAAAGCGTCGGTCGTGGAGATGTAAGAAGAAGTGTCATCTGACTTGAAAAGCTTAGCATTGCGAGGCGCAGCAGCTTCTTTGAGTTCTTGGATCTTCTCAGATGAGAAGTAAAAGATGTGACCGTGATGAATTGGTGAAGCCAGCTTAGGTGGGGGTCCTTCAGGTGTGAAGGGTACTTCGATGTACTCAGGATGATCCTCGGGTTTGCCAACGATGGTATCAGATGGCTTCATCAACTTTGCTCTGTCCTCGCAGGGAACCTCGACTGGGTTGGTAATCGGTAGGCCTTGAGCTTTGCGGACTTCCTCGGCAAAGATCTCGGTGAACTTGTATGCCGTTGTTCCATCTATGTAGGCGTGAAGAAACAAGACGTTGAGGAGCAGACCGCCCTTGATGAAGTTGAGTTGCACCATAGTAGTGTTCAATCGATCTCCAGCACGAGGCCATTCTCCGCCTAGACCTCTTTGACAAACAACATCAGGGTCCAGAGCAGAAGTAGGGTAACCCCGACGCTTCAACTCCTCAAAACTTGGAAAGTCTTCACCTCGAAGGTCCTTGACAAGAAAGTCATGTTCAATCTCATCACCATAATGACGAAGCTGTAACAGCCCAGTCTCGAGATACTCAGCAGTAGGAACAGCCTCACAACCCGCAATAGGCGTACGATCCTTGAACGCCGAATAAGCCCTCTTGAGAATAGAAGTTACCTCCTCAGCATTGTAGCTCTCACCAAGCTCAAAGTGAAGAAGACTTCGAATCCATCCCATAGGACCAATCTTCTCAGTGGGAAGTAAAGGGGGAGCGAGATCAGGAAGTGGTATGACCTCTTCGGTAGCGACGGTCTTGGAGTGGAGAGCGGGTTGGTCTATGACCAGAACCTCTGTTTTAGCGGGAGCCATGGTGAAGGATGGGAAAATGTGGGTATGGTTTGTTTTTTGGTTTGTTCTGGTGGAAGGGGGTCTGGCTTCTAATACTTGGACAAACGAAAGGGTTTTCTAACAGGCGAAGGACGCCACGCGGAGAGATGAACTGTTTGGGCCCTGAATCTTCGTGTTATCCATGTCCGTTTCAGGGCGTGCTGCCGAGGTGGTTACATTGTTGGTTCCGAGTATGAGGATCGACGGTGTTGGTTGAGTTGGTTTAAACGAGGCCAAGCTTTCTTAGGCAGCGTCCGGCTGGTAGCCACTGGAGTAGAATCGCCACGATAGAGCTTGACCTACATACAGAGTGACATTCCTTTCGGGTCAAGTTGGGTACCAGTTGGAAGAGTTGAGAGCACTCAATGACTAATGATATCTAGTATTTCTATCTGAGGATCCCAAGGATACGTTGCGAGGACGGATTGCGTGTTCTTGACCCATAAAGCGACAGCCAGCAATGATGGTTCAATCCCAAAATACCCAGATAAAGCAGCATTCGAAGTGGAATCTCGCCCAGTGGACCATTTTATAGGCCAATAGGTATCGAAATCCAAAAACGAATCCTCGGACCAAATCCGACATGCCGGAGCCGTTGGTCCAGGATCGCGTTCGACTCCTTTTTACCCTTGTGGGAAGCTAAAGCCGTGATAGCCTCTAAATGCAGATAACGCGGACCAAACGAACCCTTCAATGAAACATTACAAGCATTTACGTGGATACAGCGGGTCCTGTCTGCATAACCGGTTGAACATGGACCAAGCCCTGAAACGTGCTTTTATTCGATTGTAAATCCCCGTAATATCCGACCGGAAGTACGTCGCGGTACAGGGATTTACTTCCGGTGGTGCCATTCCAGAGCCGCAAGTTTCGTCTTGGCAGTTCATCTCCCGCTGTGATAAGAGTCAGATCTTAATCTGGGCATCACTACGATTGATACCACAAAAGGCATCACTCCAAGGTCAATTGAATGAAGATAAAATAGGAAAAATAGTCCAGTGCCTTGTTGAAATCTTTTCTGTAGGACATTCTGGACAGGACCCAGAAGAAGTCCCCTCGAAGGATTTCTCATTCCCCGTACCAGCCAACAAAAGGTAGCATCAAAGTGGACTCCGGCCCCGTCAAGGCCTGCACCAAGTTTTCACAAATGGCCTGTTTTACTTCATTTCCGCGTAAGTAGACGAAAGAAGAGCGAGCCCGTAAAGGCTAGAGATTTGCAGTGGAAGCATTGCCACTGGAAAAAGAAACGATGCTGAACTCCTGCCGGGGATGCTTTTGTTTGGAACGGCTTAGCGATTTTAGCCATTTAACTAACCAACAGCCCATGGTTCTGCTTGAACCAACGTTCTGCATGCAGCTAGTCTGATAACAGCAGATATGGAAGTTGACCCTAACATCGTGGCCATCTTTGGTCCACCACCCAAAGGTCTGGATCTTGACAAGAATGTCATCACCACTTACAATGTTGTCGTTTGTGTTGTTCTTGGTATTGCTGTCACAGTTGTCGCTTTGCGATTTTACGTGAGGAGCATGAAATCGGCGAACATCGAGATGGACGATTGGGCTGTTTTGGTCAGTTTGGTAAGTGCTTTCACCGACATGATCGTGCTTCTGCTAACGCAATGCAGCTTTGTGCTTCAGCAACTGTCGCTATGACAATATTGGGTAAGGTTCGCTGGCGCGATACTTTCGAGTCCTAATGTTGATGAATAATAGCGGGCGAACATGGTTCCGGAGCTCATGTTTGGTCAATCAAGCTCACGACTCTCGTCGATGTCTTCAAGGTACGTCTATGATCTCGTTTGATCATTCACCCATTCCGGTACTCACCAAGATCAGATCGTCTACGCCGAGCCCTTCGTATACGCCCTCGCCGTCACATCCGTCAAAATCAGCATTCTCCTGTTGTACCGCCGCCTCTTCCCCCTCGGTATCGACAAAAATCGACTCTACACGATAATGTTCTGGATAGCGACCTTCATGACAACCATCTACCCATTTATCCTCTGGATCACCATGCCTTTTGCCTGTCGACCTGTCAGTCATTTCTGGAACCAGTACCTTGGTGCTAAGGGCAAGTGCATCGAAGTGAAGCTATTCTTCCTTGTTCTAGGAATCATGAACATGATGAACGATATCATTATCTTGACTGTTCCGATCCCCAGAATTTGGACACTGCATATGAACAACAAGACCAAGATTTCTATAATTTGCATCATGCTTCTTGGCAGCTTGTAAGTGATCTTACAATACAATGATGAGTTTCCAGCTGACTCTCTGTAGTGTCTGTGTCGCCAGCATCGCACGCATTTACTACCTCTGGGGCTTCTTCCAAAACCTCGACGCGACATGGTGGATGGGTCCATCGTTCGCCTGGTCCAGCCTCGAACCCTCCGTCGCAGTCATCTCAGCTTGTCTCCCCACGCTAGCACCACTGTTTCGGATCAAGCGCATCAATTCGACTTCACGCGGCACACCATCAGGACCAACTGACCTATCCAAATCTGGTTCCAAACACTTTCAGCTCTTCAGTGTGAATAGAGCTAAGGGCAATGCTTTCGGTAGTGACGATGACGAAGTCGAGTTGACATACGATGTTGGAAGGGGAGGGACCGGTGATGGGTCGATCTGGAAAAACCAAGGGGGCTCGGCTGCAGAGCAAGGAATTGTTGTCCAGACGCAGGTTTCGGTGACACATCAAGACAGGAAAGGCCGTACTAGCACTCATTAGACTGTTGTTTTCTAGACGCGCAAAAGAAAGATACGCTTTTAGATGTCCACGCCTGAAGTTAGCCCGGAAATGTAAATGACGTAAGTCAGCACTCTCTAAATAACATCACTGTATCCCCTGTCGCTGTTCTCTCAGATCGTACCTGGTTTTCAATGACTCGCGTAACTCAACAGTGCTCCTGACACTGAGTTGGGGGACGACCTCTAGAACGACGGCCCCCTAAACAACATACCCTGCGCTGTCCAATCTGTATTTTAGGCCTCAGCATTTCATCAAGTTTAACGGAAACAATTGGCTCGAAACAGAGCTGCATACGGTAAATTGGAATATCATCACCCAAGAGAGATTTCATGCACAAAATCAATTAACTACCAAACGCCACATGTACTGCTGATCAGCTATAGACAACTTCTCAAACGCAAAAACTCGCCTGCCCTGACTCCCATCAACAGCAAAAACACTGCAATCCATGCCACACCACGATCTGCGCGATCTTTCGCATACTTACCCTGCGTAGATCTAGCTAAAAAGCATGCTGAACCCCCCGAACTCCACATTGCCCTCTGCCCCGCGACAATCACCAGTTGTCAAGATACCGGTGCCATCCGATGGCTTGGATTTCGACAAGCTCCTTTTCCAGTCTGTTGATCTTGTACCTGTACTCCGATCGCATGATGCCATTAAGCCCCGGATAGAACTTCTGTTGCGCCTTCTCCTGAAGCGCAACAACCTCCCGCTCGATCTCGCCGCGTCTTCTAGCCTTGGTCAGCTCTTCCAGGTAGATGAGGTATCCTCTCGGGACCGTGACGGAAGTATGAATTTTCTTGACGCGGGTAGGGTCCTCACCGCGCTCTTTGGCAACCCAGACATCAAGCACGGACTGGGGTGTCTCACACAGATCACCGTAGCCCTGCTTACCGATCATGTGTGTGCCTTCTTGGATTGCCTGTTCATACGTAGCGGCTGTCAGGGGATCCAGGTGCAAATGCTTCATGACGAAGCTCCTACGGCCTTCTGGCGTGAAGAGCTCAGCAGTACGTCTGCGTGCCATGAAGGCAGGCGGCCCAGCCATGTACGCAGGTGGTCCAGCCTTGTAGGTAGGAGATGACGGCGGGTCTTGTACCGGCTTCTTGTCAACGCGCTTCTTCACCCACTGCTGAACTTCCTCAAACGGCATCTTGCTGTTATGTTGTGGAGGCTGTGAGAATGTGTAAGATAGAGAGGTAAGGAGTTTAGAGATTTGTTTGTGGAGAGAGGATATGCACTGGTATGATAGCTAAGAAGAGCTCTGTGGGGAGAAAATGGAACTGCCATAGTCCAGACAGAGGGTAACTATTTATAGGGCATTTCTCTCCACTAGACTTCCCATTCCTTTAATTTTGTTCATGTAAAGTCCAGACATACAATTGATGTTGATCAATATGTACCACCCAACTACTTCGCAAGTCAGATGAACATGCTGACGATATCGTCATGATGTACAGTTCACCAAGTAGGAAGAGCTCCAGTCCGCTTGAAATGACATATACAGCGCATAATCCTCGGCACCATAATTTAGAACATCGTGTGCCGTTTTGTAACTAACAATTATATGTGTTATACACGCATGTCAGTAGTTGTTCTTCAGAGTGCTGTTAGGATTGACAATCCGTGGTAGGTGGGGTATCAAATGGGACATGCTTATCTTATCAGCTTATCCGCTTATCGCTCACAATCTTGGTTCAGTATTGTTTCGTCACAGAGGAACGACGTCACACATGCAGGCAATCCTCTTGCAAGAAAAGGCGTTTAATAGAACGCATATCATGATAATATGTTGTTAGCTAATCCTTTTCGAGATATAATTATCGACTTTAGAGTTTGATGTGACATAATCAGCCCCAAGTGGCTGCAGCTAACGGATCGCGTTCCCCTCTCTGATCATCCTCCCTTGAGATCCTCAGCTGTTCTCTCATCTCAAAGCTCATATTTGCAGGTGTCTTGATCCATCCAAATCGCAGTAGCTTGTCCAAAGAATTGTTAATATTTTTCAAAATGTCGGATCGTTTTGACAGCTTCCCCTTCATCAGCTTGCTGAGTGGCTGGGGAGTCGTCAGGTAAGTCCTATGCCATAATAACACGGCACTGAACTGACCGATTGTTCCTTGTACAGTGGCCCCGGGTTATTGTAAGTTCTTCGAAAGCTTATCAATTGTTTGTGAACTCATCGGGTACAGCATGCTCCGCAGCTTGATATCGGGCATCTCAACCGCAACAGTCGTCGGCGTCTCGAGCGGTATGGTCGGCAGCATGATCTGGGGAACAGCAGGTCTTCCATTCCTCATCGGTTCATCTCTCGGTTTCGCTTTCGGCAGCTACCGATGGTACGAAGTTGCGACTAGAGAAGCCATGGTTCAGCTGGACCTGTACCCAGCGCTGCTTCAAATGCACATCAGGTCCAACTTTCCCTGGGTGCCGGAGCTGCATAGTAGAAAACGGGATTGGTATACGGCTGAGACGTTTCGCAGGTCATGGGTCATGAAGAGTATGTTGGTCGTTGGTTGGCTTTCGGCTGAGTCGTCGCTTCGTGAGATTAAGGAGCGGAGGGAGGCAAGATTGGTTGAGGAGTACGTCGCTGCTGAGGAGGAGTCGGAGTGAGCCCTTTCGCTAGCTAATAGCCGTGTACTAAAGCAATCGACTTGTTCAACACGCTCAGTCCGACAGCTCCTCAATGAATTGAAAGATGAATGCTAATCTTGTTCTCTCATCTTCACAGTCATTTGGCAGTGCCAGTACTGGTGGCCTGTGATTGGTAACCATACCAACGCGTCGGCCAGAACAACCCCGCTTTTGAGATGGCGTGTCTCAATCAGCTTGGACCCTGCATGAACAGAAACTCTGGACAGGTCAACAAAAGAGCATGGCGAGTATCAGTATCTAGTTCGATTGAACAAGAAAAGATACGAACGATACGTTCAAAAGTGAGATAGCTCTATTTAGACCGAGTGAGTCGCATGAAATGTGGTTGAGACAGCAAGCGCTGACAAGTCTAGATAATCACCACAACACAATATCCAATGAACGACTCTCAGCTTCAAAGCATGGCCTCCATCGCCCCAGCAGCCAAGCTGGCTGTCCTCATCGATGCAGACAACGCAAGCGCCGCAATGATAGCTTTCGTCTTGGCTGAATTCGCAAAATACGGCACAACGTTTGTCAAGCGCGCTTACGGCGACTGGACCAGCAACCGCTTGAACGGTTGGAAGCCTCAACTTCTCCAGAATTCAATCCACCCTATGCAACAGTTTGCATATACCTATGGAAAGAACGCCACAGACTCGGCGATGATTATTGATGCCATGGATTTGCTATACTCTAACAAATTCGATGGTTTCTGTATCGTGTCGAGTGACAGCGACTTCACGCGTCTTGCCTCAAGGATCAGAGAGTCGGGATTGGTGGTTTACGGGTGTGGAGAGCGGAAGACGCCGAAGCCTTTTGTCACGGCGTGTGATAAGTTCATTTACGTTGAGAATCTTGTGCCGAGATCTGGGACTCCATCGATCGAGGTTGGCGTTGCTGAACCATCAACTACGATACCGCTCAATGGGGTATCGCCGAGCGAGAGACCCCCACGCGGCCACGCTTCAATCTCGGCGTTTTCAAAGGGTAAAGGTCTTTTGATGGACTCACCTGCCCCTGCAAGGGGATTGACTACTGAGCAGCCTTCCCCAGGACCTTCAAATCGTGTACAAATCGCGCGTCTTCCCGAGAGGATCGATTTCCAGAAGGACCGGACTGAACCGCGGGCGCGATATAACGGCGAGTCATCCGCGGGGCCATCCAATGCACAGAACCTCAAAGCCGAGCCCTCCGATGCAGCACCGTACATTCCCGCATGGAACAGCACAACAAACGGCAAACGCAAAAGACTCGACTCCGAAGCCAACAGTCCCGCACCAAACAGACCCCGAGCAACATCCCCCGAGCCGGGCGAATTGCAACCTGAGCAGCGACCCGTCGATGATCAAGTCATCGAGTGGCTACGCGAAGCTGTCGAAGCGAGAACCGGCGAAGATGGCTGGGCTGGTCTTGCGCCTGTTGGAATGCTCATGAACAGATGGCATCCGGATTTCGATGTTCGGACGTATGGATTCAAGAAGTTGCATGAGTTGATGGCGTCGACGGGTTTGTTCGAGTTTATGGACCAGCGTCCCGGGGAGGGGAAGCCGATTGTCAAGTATGCGAGGTATCTCATTGATAGGGATAATGGGGGTTCGGTTGACTCACGTCCAACGGGGATAGTTTCTCACGATAGCTGAGTTTCCATTTCTACAAGACACTATGTTTGAAGCGGCGAGTTATAGAAATCTTAAATAGTAATGAATGTCTGATCTCTGTAAATCCCTCTCCTGCTGTGCACTGCCTCCAACATATCAGATTTGCGAGCATATCAAAATATCAAGAGTCTTTGCCTCGTGCCCTTTTCTTTACCTCACAGGATATTAATATCACGAGCTTTCCCAGCGAAATCCACCATGCCCTCTCCAGCCATCAACCCATAAACAAAAGCTTCTCCAACAAGTGAAAAGTCTTCCGTCCCCTTAACATTACGCAGAATAAACGGCGTCTCGCCACCGCGTAGAATAGCAACTTTGTCACCAATCTGTGCATTCCAGGGCGCCAATCCCATTTAACCCCGATAAGTTATAAACAACGAGCGATGCGCACATGCGTCATAGATACGCTTTATATAACCGCCATACTTTTTCTTGTTATGGGAAAAATCCATCCACGGCTGTTTCAGCAGCTCAGGAGTCCCGACGTTGGGCAGAGGCCTGATCTGGAGAAATTGGGTATGCATCACAAGCTGAAGATCCGTTATTTCTCCTTCAAGTGTGGTCGTCTCATATATTCCCCTCGATGCCATATCTGGGAGCTCTCGACCCCATCCAGTTCGATCATACCATGTCTCGATGTAAGCCCAGTCATCACTATCAGCTGCATCTGCGCCCGCATAGTCAGCTATCATCGTTCTCCAGAGGGCATTTGTACGCCCGCCAGCCCCACTGTATGGGCAGTCTGGAAGCTCAATGAGGCCAAGAGTCTCCCACTGGACAAGATCATTGATGCCTTTCCTGGAGATAGGGGGCCTTTCAGTTTGAGGATGCCATGCGGGACCAAGCTGCCTGATTTCATCAGCAATATGCCCCTTGAGAGATAGGACCCGAGGGTTAGAATGGTCATTCAGTTCCGCAGTAGTGTTTCCAGATGCGAAATATCGTGGCTGCGATAGGGAGAAATTTACCAACGGCCTAGGGTCCCATCGACTTGGACACTCCCAGTTAGCAGCCCAGGAGGGCAGCCTGGATAGCTTCTGCCGAAGAAGCTCTTTTTCATTTCGTAGTTGGTGTTCTCTCGTCGTCTCCCCAACGCCATACACCACTCTTGCACGGCCAAGATTGTCCCAGATCTTGGACCATCCCAGTGAGAGTTCTCTCTGCTTGATATAATGCTCAGCTCTCACAGCTTGCTGGCCCTCCAACGGGCTCCATTTAGAAGATTGTTTGGTCCTATCTCCATTGTCTCGAAAAAATGACTTCTCCTTGCTCGGTATTCTCTCCCAGCCATCAGGCAGTCTCGCCCAACCCCTTCTGGGAGTCTTGTCTGGCCCGTCGAAGATGAGAGCATGGATATCATAGTATCTTGACTGCTCTAGGACACTGTATGCCTTTTGCTGTTGAGTGCCATTATCAACACCCGGCCATTGTCTTGTGCAGTTCAGCACATGTAGATTGTTTGTAACTTGGATCATAGTCCTTGCAAAGTCACGGTACACCTGCGGTACATCGAGATGATAATCCGGGCTTATCTTGGCAGCCGCGTCAGGATGTACAATGCCCAAGAACCTATAAATCCTGTCATGCGCAACCGTGCACTCTAAAATTCTGAACTGGTATAGCACATCCAAAAGTTCGAGTCTTCCAACGATCAAGTGCCATTGTTGATGATAGCCAGAAATAAGGTTGTACATCCGATCAGGAAATATGTTTCGATCACTCAGCTTGACACCAAACACCTGAACCTCAGTCTGCGTCATTCGAAGTCGTTTTAGAAGAGATGCCACTGTATCCTACGTGACAACCTCGTCTCCGCATATTATCTGGATGTTCTTTGCCAGCACGACCTCTTGAATGATCCAAGTTCGGCGCCACCAGGGTCGATCAAGAAGCTCACGAACTTCCCCATTTATCTACTCCTCTATCAATCTGGATCGATTCATCCTGGCGATGGAGCTTTTGACAGACTTGAAAATTGGAAGTGTCGGTTTGCCGTAGGTTTGGTCAATCTTCCACTGATGCCAGCCAACACTAGCCATTCTATTCTGGATTAATCTCATGCCCAGAACACTGCCATCAGTAGGCTCTCCCAACCATACCAAGACGTTTTGTCCTTGTCCGTAGATCTTCTGCATAAGGGGAACTTGTGTATTTTTCTCGTCCACGTCAGCTTGATTTATACAGATTGCATCTATCCAAAGCACTCTCTTCTTCCTCTTCCATCGCAATCTGCGGAGCGCGGCAGCTGCATTATCTCACACAAGGAAATCATGATTGCTGAGTGAGATATTGCAGCCGTTACCGGGATCGCCTTGTTTCCAGCACGGATCAGCTGTTGAAGCTTAGTCTAGTGTAGCCTTGTTCTTATCATGCACCTATGAAATGTCACTAAGAAAGCCTCGTTATTACCATGTGAGCACTTCTAATGTGTCCTCCTCTTAAAAAAGAAAAGGCTGGTTGGTGCACACGTTCCCGACCTTTGGTTTAAAGCGCGCCATCCAGGCTATTAAAAAATTGTCTTCTCGTAAGTAATGGAGTCTTCAAGGTTTCTAGGATCGTCGGGCTTTATCCTGCCAACTCGGCTCTCACTTGATTCACTGGTAACTCAGACTTGCCCGTGTCTTGCATCTCGGAAGCTTCTACACTATGCGGCTCTTTCACACCCCCAGATGGCTTAGCATCTCCATCGAGTTCAGCCTTCTGATACCCAGAGTCGCTAGTGTGAGCTATTGCACCAGGCGATCTCTTCGTCTTCTTGCCAATTAAGAACCCAGCTCCAAGACCGAGAAGGATAAGGCCTGCGACACCAACCCCCGCACCTATGCCTGCTTTGGCGCCGGTTGACAGTCCACTATCACTCCCAGAGCCGGATCCTTCTTCACCTCCACTCGATGAACTTCCCCGTTGCTCTGATTCTTTGTCCCGAAGATCTGCCTCATCGGTCGGTGTGCTGGGCTTGCGCTCAGTGGCAGGCTTGGTATGGTTGCCAACGCACTTGTATGATCCCTGGACAATATCATTGAGGAAGTGTTCATCGAACCAAGAACAATCCATAGTCCTATCACCGGCCAGGTAGAAATCTCCCGTAATGACCTCAAGACCGAAGAACTCAACGTTGGTAAATGGCCCGGTCATGTTGATGTTATCTGCCTTCTTCAGCATATTGGCCGTAAAGTTGAGAAGGCGGGGGTTGTCGTGTATCTGCAGGTCCTTGACATAGTTAAGCCTTGGTATCGAAAAGTCGTTGAGCGCAATATTCTCATCAATGCCAAGCGTGCAGTTTGCCGTCCTGAGACTTGGTAGACTCAGTTCCGTGAAGAAGTTGGATGTAAAGTTGAGCTTGCCCTTGAACCAATCCACATCATCGCCGTGAACCTCAGTCAAGGAAGGTAGGCTGGCGTTGACGAGATCCCTGAAGATACCACCAGCGTCCCCGCCGCTGGTATAACTTGAATGATCGCTGCGACCTCCAAGCTTCTTCAGATTGGGCACTGACAAATGCGTATCTCTTCCATTTTCCGTGACGCGAAGCAAACCGACTTCGGGGAGTGATAAAGAGATGTAATCGAGGTCCGGGTTACTTGTGATGTCCACTGTATAGTTGACAAACTTGAGATTGTCCAACAAGACACGCTCTAGGCCACTACTTCCCCAGATTCCGATCCCGCTTGTGACCTCCTGCGCAGATGAGGTGAAAAGCGCTCCGCCAGTGGCCTGAAACTCGACACCCGAAACGTCAATACTCCAGACAGAAGTAACATTGAGGTACAGATTACCCGCCCAAGACTGGCTTGCCCCAGATTTGATCACGAACCCTGACAACATGTTGAGCTTCGGATCCGTATTGATCGACACGTCACCCCATCCCCAGTAAGCAGCCAGCCCACCGATGATTCGAAGAGCAGGAAGCGTTATGTTCAAGTCTCCAGGGGTCTTGGTAACCTTTCCCCCGGCACCGTACATGAGGAGGTCGCCAGTGACGTTTTTGAGGGTCGAGCTGTAGAATGTAACGTAATCGTCTGGGAAATCGTTGCTGTACTTGATATCGCCAATGACAGTCTCGATCCCTGTCATGTTGATGGTTTCCGTAACGTTGATAAGATTGAGGTCGCCGGTGTAGGTTGGACATGATGCCGCAAGGCTCGATACTTGGGTCGCCTCGGTTATTGTCGAAGTCTCCTCATTAGAACAGTCTGGGAATAATTAGCTATGCGCGACGCTCTAGAACATGCAGTATGACTTACCAGCAATGACGCTTCTAATATGTCCTGATAGGCACAAAGTCAGCCCAAAAAGGGCCACGCCTTTGAGACGGGCCATATCTTCGTCTTCGCTGTTACAGATGCGATGGAAGAATGGGAACGAGGGATGGGTGCGCGATGGGGGAAGGGGTCTTAAGACATGCCCAGTCACTGCGCTTCAATCAGGCTTGAGAAGTGTCAATTAAGCTTAAACAAGACGGTGGCGTTAAACTAGCTTTAGCCCGTGTGACTCGGTAGCCCAGCATGCATTTGACGGGAGGCAAAAGCACTGGTAATCAGCACAGACTCAAACGGCATATCTCTCAAAGACGGTCTACATCAACAGTATTGGATAGACATGATTCTATGGCTTTATTTTATTGAACGACGTAATTATCTCTTGCCGTCCTGTCACGACATGCAGACAGTAAATATCTGTGACCATGGCAGCCTTAGCGTTGCACCCCTGCTCAATGAGGCTTTCTGTGATAGCTTCCATTCGGCGACCGTTTTCAGCTTGGACAACGTGGCTGGCTGTAAGATTAATTTGCCACCCACTATCAATCTGACTGGTCAAGGAAGTGGTCCATAGCACAGAAAGCAATCAAGACAAACACAAGAATATCACAGAATGTTGAATATGCGGTCTTCCTTCTCGCAATCAATTACACAAGCGTGATAACCGGAAACTCATCCTGTGCTTCAAGCTCCAGTCGACGTCCCAGAGCCTTCTCGTCGAGGAACCCAAACCCCAACCTCTCATACTCTTCACCCACCTCCACCTTTTTAACCAGTATAGCATAATAAGTCCATTCATCCCTGTGCTTTACCTTCAGCAGGACGAGCGCAAAGAACTCCTTCCCTTCCAGACTCTTCACTATCTTCAGTGCTTCCTGCGGCGCATCATCAGCCCCGAAGTCAAAGTCGAACCGTGAATGTGTCTCGTCATTTGCTGTACGGATCGGAGGATTATTGTCGTAAGCATATCCTGGTTTCGTAGGATCCCAGTCTTTGACATTGAGGTACAATCGCTCCATCGGCGCCTGGATCGTTAACCTCCCGCTTGTGACCTCGCCGTAGATGTTTGTACCTTTCAGGTTGATCTTTACGTCGAGAACTTTGGCAATTTCTTCGTAATCTTCTCTGATGCCAGTGCCTGGAATTCCATCCATGGATGCCCACGACCAAGATGGCGCTCTCAATTCTGGAACACGTCTGCAACTCAGACCCTGCCAGAGTAGTCCTTCCAACAGTCTTGATCGCCAAAGACCAGCGACATACTCGTCGTCGAGACGTTTCGCAAAGATGCTCGCTAGGCCAGAGATGGCGGGTAGTTTATCCGAGGCTTGTGTCAATTTTCGAGGGCCGTAGAGCCAGAGCAGACTGTACCATGATTGATACAGTCTCGCCTTGGGATCATCTTGTTCCTCTTCATCGTTAGTCTCTCTGGTTTCATCCTGCCCACTTGGCATATCATGCACGTTCTCAAATCTCCAATCGAGAACCGTACCATCCTCCCCGCGAAATCCCTTACTACACTCAAAGAACATCTGCTGTTTTGTATAAAGCAAAGTTCGGCACGACAGCACTCTTTCTTGAAGGGCCCAGCCCCGGTCAGAGAGTGGTTCATCCGGTAAGCTTATATAAGTACTAGCACCAGATTCTTGGTCGAGCGGAAGATTGAACGCCATGGCCTGTCCACTGAGCTCTCCTGATGTATAGTCAAACATCTTGTATTCCCTTGCCTTTGTCTCGCTGAAAAGCCCCTCAGAGTGATCTTTTGCTTTCGAGGCAGCAACTGTTAGGTAAGAGTTTGCATAGATAGAGAGCATTTTTGCTGATTCTCGCTCCCAGTCGTCGTAGTCGCCTTGACAGATGCAGATGCTGTCTATCCAGAGATATCTCACACCTAGTTCACGTGCTAGTTTTATTACATCTTGATGCGTTTGCGACAGATGAGAGATGGTGATATGACGTTTGCGCTCCTCAAGGGTTGCTTTGGTGGTAGTAAATTGCGGCGCTTTGCCCCAGCAGTAGCTGCAGGACAAATGTCAGTGTGAGCCGCCTTTGGATGTAGTTTTGGGGAGATACCTGAGAGATATGTATTTTCCACGTTCCTGTCCGTCTGTTTCCCGGAGCTTCGCATACGGGCTGTCGATATCATTGCCCACGTCAACGACTCGACACGGCAACAGCGTCTCTCCAGGGCTGCATTTGGAATGCTCGTTGCATTCGTTTACCCAGTCATGAGCCCTTGATATAGCCTTCGCAGTTCCGCCATGCTGCTCAACAGGTCGTCCGCGAATGATCTGGGCCAGGGGATCACCTAGCAAGATCAGTATCGCTATGCTCAAGCGGTTTACGCAATCTCACCATCGTCTACACAAAGCCCAATGGCCGCCACAAGCCGGACGTTTCGCTTATTCTCGTCATTCGTTGTACTCATGACCCAAAATCCATTTCCCCCTACTCCTCTCTTAACAATCCACATTTCCCATAGCGGCCAACCATACTCCATTATCGTTCCCGCATCCCACTGGGGCTTCAACTCCTCAAGCTCCGACTGGCATAGTTCGACTTGAGTGAGAATCAAGGAGCAGATACCGCAGCCTTGGTTGTTTGCAGCGTTTCGTAGAGCTTCCAGGCTCTGATGATGTAGATAGCCTCGGCTATCTTCGGGCCAGTGGTGAAAGTCTTGGAGATATGGATATCCGCTGCTTGACGGCCATGATTCTGGTGGGGCTGTGGGTAGATTCCCCCATGGTATTTCTCTGCATAGGTCGCATAAACTCATTTTGTTGTACTGTTGAAGTTGCGATTCATGCTTTTCAATAGGCAACAGCGTGAAGTTCGAATGTCAGACATAAGCACTAATGCCTGAGGCACCAGGTAATGATCCCCTGGTCTTCCATCAGTTGTCTGGATATGTTAACCAGCTGTACATAACCCACGGTGAAAAGCATATAACAGGATTTCTTATTTTGCTAGATCCTAAAACATTCCATCGTCTTATCTCTTATTAGTAGTGATTTACCAGAAATTCTGCCTTATTTATTTAGTCTAGCTATGTTAGACTGTGAAATCTTGCAAATCGATTGGAGTAGAGCTTTCGTGGTGTCTATATATGATAAGATAGCAAGCTCAGCTATATAACTGATCAAAAGCCCACTTTCACATTTTTCGTACTTTATATATATCTTATCGTTCGCGAGAATCTCACTACCCCATTCTTGAATAAAGAGATTTTGTTCATTGTAAACACCGATTGTTGGACCCCCACTTCTGGTTTATGAGAAGTCCACTTGAAAAACGTATAAAACTACAAATCGCCTCTTTGAAACCCATTATCCTATGGTAAATACATTCGTCAACATAGAAGTCCCTTTCTCTACTTGCCATAAAGCTTCAAGATTACTGCGAACAGAAATAGCGTCTGACAGTGAGCCACCTACCCTATACCTTGACATCAACGAGGCAAGCTGACATTCCCCCAACTCTCTCCTGTAAAAATTCTTTCTTGGCACGCACTGTTAGTGCGGTGCTAGGAGCGGGATTTTCTGCAGGCCACGCGACCACACAAAAA